TCGAAACCATGCCCATGCGTTAGATCATTCGGCCACCCAACCCCCCATTTGTTATAGGTTAAACTTTAATAATAAACTTTCTGATAGAGCATCGACAGCTCTGAATTACAGTAAAAACTAATATATTACATATAAATCACGATTAGAAATGGAATGAAATGGTATTTAACCCTTTACTTGTCTGCACCTAATAAAGAAGGATTTATTGTTGGAATTATAAAAGGATTAAAGATTTACCATTCTAATTTAGAATGGCATACACATCCTAAAAAAGACCTAGTTTTTAAAATAGTGTCCTTATTAGTGAAGACTATAGTCGTATGGAGATGTGTTTATGAATCAACTTTGAGTATAGGTGTCACGGGACAACGCACAGATGATCGAAAAGCATGAGTTTAACACGTTTCGATAGGTTGTTATAATACGATACTATCACAAAGGCATAATTGGTACCAGCTTAATTGGCCTTGAAAATCAGGGTAATGAATCAATGTTGGGCAGATCCAGAATCGTCCGGAGATAAATTTCAGAGCACGATATTAAAGTATTGAAGTGACTATTCACACACGACGAAGGAGTTATGCCCACGTCTGAGAGGTCTGAATGGCCTACTCCAGAAAATTTGAAAAAAATGAAACGTTGTAGATGCCATTTCCGACTATTTCGAGCCCTGACACCCTTTGTCCACAAGCCAAAACAATAAAATATAAGGTACTGTGACAGCTCATTTTAGCTCCGGTATTTTCTTATATTTGGTTCCATATTTAATTTCTAGGACTGTAAGTCAAGGTTGGAAGACCTTTCCATCATTTGACATGTTGAGTAGTTGGAGGGGTATTGATTAGAAAGTCTGAATTAGAACATCGAAGGTTGAGTACAGAAAGTAAAATTCAGTCAATGAAAGCAGAATTTTGAGACGATTTAAAGTTTGAAAAGCTCTACAAATATATCCCATTTAGATAATTATTTACTCCTTTTTACTCTAGATCGCATTTTAAGCCTGAAACCCCGTCATATGAGTATGTTTAACTATGTCGAAGGTTTGTTTGTCCGAATCTATATGGTTATAAATAATATTTACCGTGAGATACAGCTACCATACCGGCAAAAAGGACGAAAACTGCTGCTGGATTCATGTCAAATGTAGTTGTAATCTGAAAAACATAAATAATGTATCATATATTAAAGTATCAGTAAACAGTTAAAATGTAAAGATAATCAAAACAACCAGTATTATTGGGATGGGTAAAGTCTTCTTGAAATGAGAGTAGCGTGCTTTATCAATACATTATATTTCCATGTACCTGGTTTTGTGCCAAATATCCCAGGAATCCATACAAATTAAGCCAAAATATGACTAGTCGCCCTAGAACGCTTGATATTACTTCTCATGTAGCTAAGAAACTTTTGTTTTACTTGTGTTTTCGTACATATATTGAAAACTAATCGGTAATATAAATCCTAAAATGATCTTTCTCCCTTTCTTAACAGCTCACTTACCCTTTTCTTCTTGTGGATATTCAAAACCGAATGAAGACTATGGCTAGCCCTCCGACATTTATACCCCCAATTTCTTCATATTTCATTATTGTACATCCATCAAACTGGCCCCTGTAACTCACGAAGGACATAAATTATCCACTCTATTAGGGTACAAAAGATGAAGAGGGGTATTTAATCAAAACTATGGATAATGAATCTTCTAGAGATATTAACGGTCATGTTAAACGTGTCTTATTGTTGTGTAATAATACGTGGACATTGGAAAGATCAAAGAAATGACCCAAAGTTTGAGGAGGTCACATAGCCACTGTCATTCATGACTGCGCCATGATATTAAATAGTGGTTATTACCAATAGAGCTATAATATCCATGATATATATTTTAATCAATGTAAGGTTTTATCTCGTTATTTCGGAGCCGTGGTTACTGGGTAAGACACTTGGAGTTCCCGAATTTATCCTTGTGTTGGCCGAGAAAGTTCACGACATATGGCGTCTGCACGTATGCTAATCGAATGAATCAAATATTGAGAGGCTCCATTAGAGGCTTCTTTAAGAGCGAGAGAGAGAAAGAGAGAGAGAGAGAGGGAGAGAGAGAGAGGGGGGGACGATGCACTAGTTATCACAGTAATATAATCAAATATCTATAGAATTTAAAACATTAAGCATAAAAAACCTTTAGAATAAAATTGTAAAAGAAAAATAAACATCAGATAACATCGATAACAATTAAAACAGTTGACTTTCATCCATTTTTTTTTAAAATGAATTCTTAATTGTTATCGATTTTATCTGATGTTTATTTTTCTTTTACAATTTTATTCTAAAGGTTTTTTTATGCTTAATGTTTTAAATTCTATGAACGATTCTAATAATGATGGACTTCGTCTAATAACACGTGGAAGTATATTCCTAAATTTTTTAAGTTTGACTTATGAAGAAAAGCTTGCAGATTTATTCTTTAAATAATCAGATAGAATGGCGGGGGCAACAAAGTTAAATTATTTTGAAGTAAATAATACTATTTTAAACTCTATGTGATAGAGTAAGTAACCAAGATAAGTACAAGTGTATTGTATGTATGTTTTTAAGTAAGAGTAATAAGGAATTTGGGCTACAATATTTTGCTTAGGCTGTGCAGCTAAAAGTGATATAATTTGTCTTGAGGTGATAAATTGGTGCACTATTGTTTTCGTGGCATCAAGTGTATGCGTCAAGTCTGGGTATAATTTGTTAGTCTCAATTGATATGTATATTTACTTAGTTTAGCAATATTTCTTAAGTGGAAAAAAAAACAACCAAAAAAAAACCAAAAAAAAACCAAAACCCCCCAACAAAAAAACACGTTTTCTGTTGTCATAAGCATATTACTATCACAAAAAGTTTCAAAATCTATCGCAGAAAAGACAGTCTTTATTCATTCCAGAAACATTCTTAGATCCAATAAGAATGTAATCAGGTTTATCTGTATCTGGATGTAAATGACATGGGTAAACATCCCACTTATCTTCACCGACTGGGCTAATGGCGACGAACAATCATTTGACATCCAACTCTTAATGTCATTAATACATGCTTCAAGTTTGAATTTATAGTAATCACAATTACTAGAATTAGATGGTTTGAAGGCGATATACATCATCTGTATATATATGATATTAAAGGCCATTCTTTGTAACTATTCAGGGGAGCTGCGGTGGATCAGTGAGTAGCACACTGGCTTACTAACCAGGAAGTAAGGGGTTCGCTTCCGTTGTTGGTCGATATAACTATAAGACATTGCGCCGCTGCCCGGGAAAGATTTCTCACATAGTCCATCGCAGCAGAAACGTAGGACGTTAAAACCCCATTTTACCGATATGGATAACCTATTATATTTTTATTTTTATGACATGTGACTTAATAACGTAAATTACGTCATATTACGTATCAAGTACATGCCATCTGCATTTATCCATTTAGAATCCGATCGTTACAGCAATGTGGCACAGAATGATCATAAGTTCTGATTAATCACTACTTCATCAACAAATTGATCTTTTGTTTCCACCACCGATTTCATGTAAGGAGGGTTTCAAAATATGTCAATCAAAGTTTCTACTAGTTAATCCATGTTTGCTATAGTTTGTAGCATGGACAATGGCGTTCGAGGATAGATCTATTTTCCATTTAAATTCATACCACTTGCCACAGCAACTCAAATTCCCCAGAGGCCCTGCGTGGTGTTAAGTTTGCATACGAAATAATTTATATTGAACCACATATAGGTACAATGGCGCGTTATCAAGTGGCCCGAGGAAGAGTTGGGTTTATGTTTGTATGTGGGGGAGAGGGGAGGGCGATGATTTTTTAAAAACCCGGGGGATTTTCATAATTTAAAAAGTTTCATTGACAGTCTCTGTTTTTGCAATGTTTTTTTCTAATATTTAAATAGTCACAAACGAGATGCAATTAGCAAATTATAGCGGTTCAATCCATAGACTGTGAATGGGTTCATTTGGGGTGAAGCTAATGTCGAGTTGGTTTCAAATCATTGTGGGATGTGATACCGATGGATTGCTATGAACCCATCTGTTTGGTCCAGACTTGGCACAAATTCTACCCGAGCTATAAAAACACATAATTCCAAAAATAATGTGAAAACAAATTGATCTACAAATCTCTATATTCTCCGCATGTTTCTGTTTGAAGTTAAGACAAATAGGAACAGGACAGGGGCTAACAGTAATCCAATTTGAAAGAAGTGTTAATTTACAGTCTATAGAAAATGAGTAACCCAACGCTCATTCGTCACTAACCCAACACTAAGTGAACGCATTCCAAAACTCATAATTACCCATTGTGTTGAATTACGGTAAATTAATATCACGATCACAGTATCTGGGAGCGCAGGGTGTGACATTAGCCCAGGACGTGTCTATAGCACAGCATGTAGCAATAGCACAGGATAGCCCAGGATAGCACAATGTGTAACTATAGCGCAGGGTATAGCACAGGGTGTAACTATAGTGCAGGATGTGACAATAGCACAGGATAGGTCAAGACGTGTATATAGCGCAGGATGTGACAATAGCATGGAATAGTCCAGGGTGTAACTATAGCTCAGGATGTGACAATAGCACGGGATAGCCAAGGAAGTCACATGAGTACTGTCGCTTTGATTCATCACGTTGCTTCATTTTGGTATCATTGTCAGCATGGAACATTCTGCTACATAGTTTGCAACAACCAGACGCTCTATTATATGAGATCAAATCTTTGATCTGGCGTCCAATGACTTAATTATCTAATATTCTCACCCCAAATTAAATATAGTTCAACTATTATGGATATAATATCCTTAAATTCCAATACTGACCCTTTCTACAATGGTGGCCTCTGGGACAACAAGAAATCCAAATCATTTAACAATATACAGTCTAATTAGGTACTTGATGGATAACAATCAATGCAATTACAAGACCAAGTCTTTGAAAGACCTGTGTTTATTAGCGAAGATTATTTGATTACAAGCTTGTGATGAAGTATATAATAATACTGTGTCATAAGCGTAAATATAGAGGTATATTGGTAGAATGGAATATTGTGGCCGTAGGCAGGGCTGGGGCCATACACTATTGGCGTATACACTTTTGGTGTAAAATGACCCCCAAAATTGAGGTATGACGCCAGTTCCACCCGGATGATATCACAGATCAAAAGCCTCCTCCCAGATGTCCACACCAGCCCTTATCCTAGAACTACATTGAGAATGACTGGAATTCCCGAAATACTTTAAAAATAAGGTTTAATAGACTAAGGATCTTGGTTGTTGTTTTTAGTATATACCAAATCAATCCGGGGGATGTACAATCACTGACGAAAGAAATAAGTATAAATATTGACATACACTTTCTGCTTGCGTTCAGATTTTGAGGTTTCATTACATTTGTCCTGCTGTTTCCCCCGCACTACCGGCCATTGGCCCAGACGCAGCAGCTAATTGTGCAGCACGAGCTGCTGCCGCTGCTCGAGCTTGTTGTTGAATCAATATAAATGGTATCATCTTCTTTAATGCATCATTACCACCAATCATTACTGACATCGCCATTGGATTAAGATGCCCGCCCTGACTCATCATCATAGCTAACGGAGCAAATCCATCAGGCATCCCACCGTTCAAAGCAATGAACGGAAGTAATCCGCGTAGTCTCCGAGACTGTCCCAACATCGACATTATCATTACTTTTCTCATTTCAGAACTTCCACTCAGCACCATTGGCATAAGCAGTCGACTCATGGGATTACCAATCATTGGTGTGATGGGGGCCATCATGGGACCGCCAGACATTTCAGACATTGCACTCAGTATCTGTCCTACAGAAAAAAACAAACAAATATGATCATTAATATCCTGTTATGCCAATACGAACAAAAAACAAAAGAGTGTAATCATATCTTCCTACAATATTCTATCTCACAATTGTTTTCTTGGATCTGTGCTTGACTTAATAGGGGATAAGGGGTATTTAGTGTATTTTCCTTTATTTAGTGTTTTTCCGGTGTTTTCCGGTATTCAGTATAACATGGTGTTTTCCGGTAGTTTTCCGGTAGTTTTCCGGTGTTTTCCGGTTGTTTTCCGGTGTTTTCCGGTATATAGTATAGCCCGTTTTCTAAGATTAATAAATCTGTTTATGGACATGCAGATTTGTTTTCTGCAACAGATGTTCAGCCTTGTTACGGTCCCGTTTGGCTTCTAAAATAGTCATTTCACCAATAGTCATATCTTCCCCTCCTCCCTCCTTCGAACCTATGCATGATAGAATAACTGGCCTATAACGTCTTTTGGGCACATTTATTAAATCATTTTGAAACACGTTCTCGAGGGTATGTTAGTTGGCACAATTTGCACAATCGACGGATGTAAAGCGGTTAACGTGCAATTTATCTTTTCTCATACTCACATCGATTCCCCACACCACCAAGGGATCTGCGGTGGCTCAGTGAGTACGACACTGGCACGCTAACGAGATGGTCTCGAGGCTTTTAGGCGTGGTTCTCTCTTGTCAGTGGTGCAGGGCGGATGGACTGGCAAGAAAAGTGTCTAGTTGTTCGGATGGGAGTTTACACTGAGGTCCCGTGAACACATTGACGTGCACGTGGAACTATCCTTAACAGTTGGAATTCGAAATAATTTTCCTCATTAATCCCAATTTCATTTCAATTCCCCAACCCACTGCACCCCAGTATCCAAGAGATCTTGATTCTGATCTACTTACCATGACAAAGTGTCAGGAAACTAGCACCCATTAAAAAGAAAACAGCAACCTTCATTTTGAATAAAGCCTTAGAACCCAAACAGAAATTTCTGTGGAAGAAAATGAAATAGATAAGTAAAAAAACATAAATCGCCATCTTTCGTACTCTACTAGTATTTAAATATGAAGAAGTCGCATAAAGGTAACGATATTCTAATCATTGTCTGTAAAATTCTTTTTATTTCAGAAAACTAAAATTACAAGAGGTCATTATGCAGAGTACAATGATGGTTCAATAGTCATCGCTGACCTGGCTCAGACAAGATTACTATGGGGAACATGCGATTTACAGTGGGCTAGGGTTTCGAATCCTATAAATTACAAACCTGAAGACTACCTCTGCATACAAATGTCTACCTGAATGTCTATGACGCAATACCGGTGTGTCTGTATATTATACCGGTATAGTAGAGGGTACGGAAAATCCCTCTAAAGCAGGGTACCTATAAGTAACAACGTTAAGAAATCGCCCGTTTCCTCATAATGACTGTATCGGCGTGAAGCCAATGAAAGGCCCAGTCTACTGAACCAGTATGTTTAGGGATGGGGTAACAGCTTAGTGGTTGGTGGACTGTAAGAAGCTGTGAGGTTCCACTCCACAAGGAATGGAATTTGAAGACCCTGAACATAATGTACAGTTACTTATTTTCTATGGTTTTATATCAAGCATGCGTTAATAGTGAAGAGCATCACACTTATTCAAAATCAACATTCCAAGGCCCTCTTACGTGTACGTCTTTCTGTGGACGGCTTAGTCCTTTTGTCATTCTTAGCCAATGCTACAAGTTTCTTAACAGAGCAATAGCCACTACCCCTGACAAGTATGTTGTTTCAATGGCATTTAGTAATTGACAAGTATGGTTGATGAATTACGATTGAATATAAATGAAGTGTGTAACCTGTGTGAACCCCCAGAAACCCGGAAAGCTGTATAATTTAATGCTTCCGCCACGAAACTGTCACATTTTATATCTATATGAAACAGTATTTTGGCCTGTTGTGTATTTTTTTTTTTTGGAGAGGGGGGGGGGGGGGGGTCTTAGAAGCCCACGCTGTTTTGTAGATTATGTATAATATTATGTATGGAATAACTTTATTTAATTGTATTGGTTGACCTTTTACAATGTTATACGACCGCATTATATGGGCGTGGTTTATTTCGATGTGGGTGTTAGATCCAACAAAAGGTTTTATCCTGATGATGACTCTTAACACTGAACGAAGTCTTTGTGCCGGTGTGACCAGAAATGTCTTTCGGTCGTTGCTCAAAGTCAACAGAAATCGGCGGGATGTAAAATATATAAAGCACTCCCAATTATTTTTTAAATAAGACCAAACGAATATTTGTTTGATCTAGCAACAGCCACACCGATGCTTGACAGAGTGAAAAATTACTCTACTACCAATAAACTAGAAATTCAGACAAGTACACATCCATGAAAAATACATATCCTCAATAGTAAAAGATGCATTATGCAACATTTAAATGAAAAGCTGACCTTGCTGCAATAGTTCAAAACTAGATGGTGAACATGTCATTTAAATTACTTTATTCTCTGAGAAGTTCTGTCTGTTTGAAGATGTGGTGCAGATCGTTTATTTTCGTAGCAACGGTCTTTGCAAACAGAATAAGTCTCGATTATACATTTTATCGTTAAACTTTTAAATCTCGCTTGTGTTTAAATCCATTTAAATCTCAACCATCTGATGGTCTAGATTGTAGGCTGATCATGTGCACAAATGTATAAATTCGAAGCCAGAAAAAGACCTGCAATAGGCAGACTAAGGTCTTACATTATGCATATTTGACCCCGCCCCTTTTTCTTCCGCTGCAAGGTGAAGAACGTGGCCGTGAGTGTAGGTATTGGTGACCAATCAATCCGAATTGTTGTACTGAACAACTGTTATTTAGGCTATGAGCCGCTAAAGTAACCACGATGCTACCGACAGATTTGTGGGTCTATTTCTTTTGATTAGATTGATTTAAGAAGTTGCGACTTTAGAGATTTAATTGTTAGTAATGCGTGCGTGAAACTTACCATGGATCATGTTTTTGGGTTTGGAAATCCAACATTCATCCTTGAGATGAGTCGGAGAAGGCGCTTTACGCTGGCATCCACGGAAGGTCCAAATAATCCAATTTGGGAGATCTTACCTACGGTTAAAGCGCTTGTCATTGGAGTTAGTTATTTACTGATATAGTTTCAATGATGATCTCAACAATCCACTTTGGGATCCTCCGTTGAGGGTTGAAAAATTGCTTTTTGGAGTATTATAAATCCAGGCCGATAATGTTCCCTATTTACGATAACAAGATCCAAACTGCAGTCAGTTACATGAAAAGGTTCCAGCGTAATCGCCATCTGTCGGGTCAATTATGGATCCGATAAATATTCTTTTGTGATAAGTGTTAGCTTTCTGGATTCCTTTAAAATGGCAGGTGTCATTCTTATAACCTTCTAAAGGGAATAGTTATCATGTAGTAGGACCTGCCTCGTGCATTTTGAATCATTAGCCGAAACGACTCATCCACAGCAATTAGTTGATGTCAACATCGTGGAAACGATGCATGTTCAGATCAGAATGTTCTGCAGACATTAAATCATGAGGTAAATCAACCAACGTCAATATCAGGCTCGGTAGTACGCAGTACTTACCTGTTTTTGGTAAAAAATGTTGACACTTTTAAATGTGCGGAGAAGAATATTTTTGAGAGAATTTCTCGCCTTTTATACGTGCAAATGTTTTTGCAAAACTGACACGTCTTAAAATTAATTATGTTTTTAAAGACTATTTTGATGGTCAAAACAGACCATATCTTTCATCTAAAGAGATATTATATCAAGAGGCGCACTATGTAATTAAAGGGAGTTAGTATAAAATCGAGAAATATTTCCCAATTGATATCCTAACTTTAACTCAAACCAATGTCTTGCAAGTCAAGATATGTTCTTACCCTATAAAGTCCCCATCTGAACTAAAAGCACGCATTGCGGGTTCAACAAGGAGTTCGGAGCCTTCTAGTCTCCCACTCTGTGGCTCCGGAAAACGGTCATTTGTAGCCATTAATGTCGGCAATAAATTAATTTAAAACCATAATTAGTTTCAACGTGTACTAAATACAACAAAAATAGATAATTAAATTGTTTGTATCTGAACAAAAAACCACATAAATGACACAGTGTTTATAATTTATTATCTTACAGTCAATATATTTATGTATAAACTACGGTAAAAAATATCCAAAACTGCATTACTGTACCATACCTGTCACGCAATTGTCATGCAATCCTATTTGGGAGCTGTGGTGTCTCAGTGAATAAAATGCTGGCTCGTTCACCAGGCGGTCTCTGATCTTCCAGCGTGGAGTCCCATTATCAGTGGTTCAGGACGATGGGCCTGACACGGAACTGTGTCTATTCGTTCGGAAAGGACGAAAAACAGAGGTCCCATATACACATTTTGGCGTGCACGTAAAAGATCCCGTGACAGTTGGATATAAGAGTAGGCCGTGGTGCCGCTACCCAGGTATAATTCCCTCATAGCACACTTTAGGGCATGTCCCCGTCTTCGTTAAGCCAAACAACACAGAGAATAAAACAAACTACGACAGTCACAATGCAAGGTCACGGTTAATGGCAATATCGTTTACAAAGAGTGGCTCAGTTTGTAAGGCGCTGGCTTACTAACCAGGAGGCTCCAGGTTCGATTTCGGGGTTGACCGAGAAACTTCCTTTGGATTTTCCAGCCCAGTTTAGCTTTGTCAAAGATGCGGGGCGGAAGAAATGACAAAGAAAAAAAAAACCTGATAATCTTTCGGTAACTACGAAAAAATAGTTAAAAGTTTGATATAATATTTCTGATGTGTTTGTTTTTAGCTCTAATTTGATCTGAAATTAGTTTCACCTTGCAAACTTTAATTCTGCCCAGCATAGGTGTTGCTATTGCTATAATCTCTTTAAAATTTAAGATACATTATGAGAGATTAGATAAAGAGATTAGTTAAAAACTATATAATGTAAAGGGAATTTGCTGAATATTTCAGTCAAATTGATCCACTCTGAACCTAAAATTAAGCGATTGAATTTTCTGCCTAACCTCGATCATCATTACTAAAGTCGGCACGATAAAATACATAGTCTCGATTATCCATTTCATGATTAAATCATGAATGAAAGTTGAGCAGCAAATCAGATACTAATCCAGTAAATATCGCAGGCTAGTGATGACATCGAGAGTTGATTATGGTCTGGATAAGTTAATTGATGTCTGATTAATAATTTAGACAACATTTTAGACCCAAAGAAAGACCTGAAATAGGCAGATTTAGCTCTTGCATAATGTATGTTTAAATAATACTATAGAATATGATTTGTAGACTGTGCATATCTATAACATGTCCTTCCTTGTCGGTCACTGTTTGCAATACTTTTGGCGGTAATGACAAAAGGCTCTCATGTCGGTCCTTGTCGATCCTTGTCGGTCATTAGGACCCCTTTATTTAAATGTACACTTATGACATTGATAAGGAAACTCATTATGTCTTTTTATTTATACATCCATCATAGATAATGCTACACTTTGAGTGAATATCTTCATTATGAAAGCAATTGTTTTGAGTATAGTGTTAAACCCAGAGTCATATACCCCCGAATTAGCGTATCCCGTATCCAACACCCCTATAGAAATGGACATTGCCGGATATTACATTCCCAGTAACCGCTAGTCTAGATTGGAACGCACGGACAAGATTGATCCAAAGCACAACAGTAGAAGGAATCTGGAGGACCCGGCGGACGTCCACGAGGTTAGGCAGGCGATGCTACTCCTTGTCGCGTACACGTGTGGGATCTAAACAACGCCACTTGACTCAATCATAGGCCTTATTAATATCTCAATCGGAATCTGGACGTTCCAATATTTTTGGACGACGCCCCTACGGGGGCCACGGTGCTTGGAGGTCTTGGTTTTTCTCTGGGTATTGGGGGGGGGGGGGGTTGGATGGCTGAATGGTTAGCGTGCGCGCGCTGTATCATAAAGTCTCTCATTGAGTCGACTGGCGTGGTTTCGAATCCCCGGTTTTACGTGACAAGGAGTAGGGTCGCCTGTCCAACCTCGTGGGTTTTCGCCGGGTCCTCCGGTTTCCTCCCACTGTTAAAGATCCCTACGCCCAAGCGAATTATTGAAATAAAATTAAAACCATATGTTAGTCTCTCTCTCTCTCTCTCTCGGTATTGGTTTCTAGCATGGTTTCCCGTTGTCAGTGGTGAAGGACTGGGGGCCTGACAGGGATAGCTGTCTAGTCGTTCGAACGGGACAATAATCGAGGTCACTTGTACACATTGGCGTGCACGTAAAAAAAACCCTCGACAGTCGGAATTTGATATAAGAGTGTGCCGTTGCGCCACGTTCTGGGCAAGATTCCTTTCATAATTTATTTCATTCGGGGACCCTAATCTATTTCTAGACATTGCATACATTATTGCGCTTGTCAACGAATCCTAATAATAAAGTTTTGTTTTTGACGAAAAATACTACTCATTTCACTCGTATCCCAGCATAATACATTATCCTTGTCTTCAAACTGTTGGTAGGCATTACTTTTCGTCTGCATGCCAGCGTCACTGAAATATCATTTCAAATTTCAAGTGATGGTGTGGGGTGGGGTGGGGTAGCCATTTTAAGATTAATTTATTACTTTTATTTTAATTTCATATCGTTAGGTGTGCGATATCATATATTTTCATTGGATGGAAGGATTATTGTATAATAAACAAACACGTGGGTTAGGGTTAGGATTAGCTCTGTTTAGCTTAATAATTCTCATTGCTTACAATGCTTTAAAAGTATTTACGAGGTAATTTTTATTCGTAAATCCTGTGTAAAAATTTGCCTATATGTCTTTGATAAAGGCTGTGGGGAAATATCTTATTGCAGTTAGATTTCTACATTGTGAAATTCACTAAGTCACAATTAACATTTAGATATTAATGAAAAGATAAACAAAAAGTATAAGAAAGGCGTAAAATAAAATAAAATTTATTGATATGCCCAGAGTTCTGCTGTGATGAAATGTTTGGGGCGAATCTTAACACATATTGGACAATCATAACTCCCAAATATTGTCATTCGATAGGTAACCTTCTTGCATCTTTCTCTGGCGATCGTTGACCTACCCAAAGTTGAAGGTACACTAGTGGACTCCGATCTCTCCGATTGTTTGCTCTTCCACCAATATTGTTACCAGGTACAGGAGTTAGTGTCCTTATTATAAATGTGTATGCATATAACAATTCTTAAATGTAATGTTAAAGCACAATTTGTTCTTGAATATACTGTCAAAGAGGTCCCAGATTTCATTTAAATAGATGAATTAATATACACACACAGAAGGCTAGTAGATTATGATGACACGTGTGCTTCAAGCCATTATGTTCATGCAAAACAGATTCAACGGCTTCAGTAAATGACCGTCAGTGGAACTGAAGTTATTTTTAAAAACGGCTTGGAATAAATTTGTGACGGAGAAAATCAAGGACCACCTACAGCAGATAATGGTCCACCACCTCCCATTGGTCTGGGCGATCCTGCCATCATCTGCTGACTCATGAGTAAAGGCATCATCTTCATCATGGCATCATTGCCACTCATCATTGCCATCATCATTGGGTTAATGCCACCACCGCCACCTCCACTCTTAGCCATACTGAGCATAAGCATTGGAAGCATTGAATCTGATATACCGCCACGCATCATCATTATAGGCAACATTTGTTGTAAGCCTGAACCTCCACCACCATGTCCTCCTCCTCCTCCTCCTCTATTACCAGCCATCATGTGCGCCATCATCATCGCCCTTCTCATCTCAGAACCACCACCACCACCCAGCATCATAGGTAACATCATGCGAGACATTCCGCCGCCCATTCCCATGGCACCCATGGGAAATCCTGGAAAAAACATAATCAGTATACATTATCATACATTTTCGTTTAGTCCATACAATGTTTTGTGATATAGAATATAGGGGAGGGAGAATACAACTCAATTTATTTGCTATAAATATCACATAAAATATCGCTGACAGAACAAAAAGGCTACACGAACAAATTACACACGTTTTATTTTGTCACCCTGTTGGTCCCAAAGTGGACGTTCAACCATAAATTACCAAGCTTTGTGAGGGAAGTATTTAAGCAGCATAACGGGCATTTCTTTACTGGGTCCCAACTGTATAGCATGTGCATACGAATGATTACCGAAAGATTGGGCACATATGTTGTCATCAGTTGCCGCGAGTATCGGGTAAATTGTTCTCATAATCTGTCTTTTATAGTAGAAGCATATTAACCTTATAATCGATCGATATGATTAAAATACAGATGTATATTTCGTTTCGTTTTTTTTATACTTTCGATGGTCAACAAGTAAAACGAAATTTTGAACTATAAAAATGAAAAGAAATAGCATCTGTGTTTTAATCAGATTGTTAATCGATTGGTCGTTAGATATTACACTTACTCATAACATGGCCGATTTAAGTACACACTCACTAACTAAAAATCTTACAAGGGAAATTATTTGCTCTTTAATGACAGAAGGAACCCTCAGGTTCCAGCGGGAACCCACGTAGTGAACCCACGTAGTCCAGAATGCGATACTACTGCTCCACAGTTTTGATCCACAATGTCTAAAACATTAGACTGCACTAAACTAAAAAAACAACAGCAACATCTTCAAGATCTTGCGATTTTAATAGGCATCATCAATTTCAACAGAAAAAATTAATGTAATTGATTTATTATAATATAATGTGTAATTAATTTCTTGTCCGCGATACCACCCTCGATGGAAGCGAGAACGTTAGGCCCCGCGAACGAACGACGCACTTAATTATTGACAATCCCACTAATGACCCATTTTAAGGAAATATACTTGCATGATCGTTCGTTAAACAGAGAGAGAGAGACGGAGGGAGAAATGGGGTTTAACGTCCACAAACTAGGTCATTTCGGGACTAACATATGGTTTAATTTTATTTCAATAATTTGCTTGCGCGTAGGGGTCTTTAGCAGTGGGGGAAAACCGGAGAACCCGGAGGTTGGACAGGTGACCCTACTCCTTGTCACTTACAACTGGGGATTCGAAACCACGCCAATTGACTCAATGACAGGCTTTATGATACAGCGCGCACGTGCTAACCATTCGGCCATCCAACCCCCCTGTTCGTTAAACCACCATGGGCTATAAGATTTAGTGCATCTCAGCAACGGATGATCAGATCTTCCTCCTTGCTGTACACCCACCCCACCCCAATAAACCTCGGATGATCAGATCTTCCTCCTTGCTGTACACCCACCCCACCCCAATAAACCTGCATGGTCAATTCACAGCAAATTATTTCTTTTACCGACCAGCTAAGACCTGCAAAGAGGTTATTTCATGAATTTATATATCTACCTACCTTGACTAACAACTACAGCTATTAAAGCCGCTAAAACCAAACAACTGGTGGCAACCTTCATGATGGAGCTATGCCTAAAGAAGATTAAAGAATTGAAAAGCACTTTATTAAAAAAAAAACCAAAAAAAAACCAAGTATCAAGCATTAAAAGGGTGTATAATTAGGCCTGTTTCATGATTTTAGTGCTTAGCCAATCAAAATTGAAGTATCTACTAAAATTTAGATTTTATCTTTAGTTAAGATTTCCAGAAACAGGGCCCTATATATTAAAACGAGCACCGTTTCTCTAGAATTGATCACTAATACGCAAATGATCCATTCGATTCCCCTTTCTGCTGGCTTAGGAATAAAGTTGTGAAAAATGGCGACAATGGTCATCCACGTGTATTCCGTCGTGAATATAGCTTTGATAGTTGAATTTTGTTAAGTATGTGTAGCCCTGATCAACTGATTGGCGTGATCCACCACATTCGTGCTAATAATTCGTTAAATTTAAAATATCAGTTCATGGCAAATACCAAGAACTCTCGATTGGCTTTAATACAAATATGTTAGACTAGATGAAAACGGTAAGCACCACGTGCATGGTATTTGGCAGCTTCTTGCACGGCAAGTGAATCTGACACTAATCATTATGTTTTTCACAATTTAGCCACACATAGCAAGAGTCAACATTGAGCTAGAATTTTTTTTTATTATTTTATTTTTAATATTATTATAGCGGTATTCATAGAACACCATATTATATTTACAGTAATACTCTGAACACAATACTTGTCACTTCAAATGATATCTATCTTTATTTTATAGTTTTCATTAAAAATTACCACAGTTAATTATAGTAGAGGTATGTTAAAGTTTGAAGTTTTTAGCCATAAATATCACATTAAATTAATTCAAGCAACTTGTTCTTGCATAATATTATTTGCGTCAATGCTATCTCAACATTTGAATAATATGCAAATCTAACCAAAAAAGGCGTTTATAAAATTTAATCTTTATGCACTAATTTATTTTATTCTGAATAAATATTATTATGGAAATTTCCATTCAATTAATTAACAAAATATTCAATTTAAAGTTTGAAATGGAATCCAACAAAACTAAATAGTACAAACATAAATTCATCTAATTCTTAGCATATCATTTTTTTTTATCTAAATGTTCTCACCTTCTTTCTGTCCTAAGAGTTAAATCTGGGGGAATGGTATTTATTTAAATTTAATTCTTATTTATAGCGAAAATTGTAACAAAACAAGTCAGACGACATTAAAAAGAACATTACGCATTAATAATAACGACCATTTGGACTTTGGTGTTCTAAAACTCACCATTTTAATTATTGTCTAAATCTTCCATGCTAAAAGCAAACGCCATAACTTTACATCATTGGAAGCATGGCTAATGTTCTCTTGTTCTTTAAAGTTTTTTGGACAGGTCCCTGGGAAAAACAATAAAATCTTATATATTAGACATACTAAATTAGGTTTTCTTGTCGTAATAAATTTTGATTTTTATCGTTGCGACTTATTTTTAATTCGAGGCAGAAACAACTTCGTTTAAAGGAAATTAGGTTTTTATTAGTAAGTGAAATTTAATCCGCAGAGGTTCCAGGGATTGCCCGATGAAGTTGCTCTGGATATTCCGGTGTGTGAGTGGGGGTGAAGGGAATTCCCCTTGCCAGTTGTACAGGAAGGGGGACTTGGCAAGGACACTCGTCTATTCGATTGAATGGTACGAAAACCTGAGGTCCCGTGTAGACATTGGTGTGCACGTAAAAGAACGCATAACAGGTGCAGTTCGAAAATATCATTCAGGGCTGGGCGTATTCAATGTTAACCGATACAACTAAACATGAATTTCCAAATTTCCGTCCGTTAATAAATTGCATGAAAGATAATCAAGGGGCTTCTTCTATGTAACTATTTGTAATCGGGTGACATTTGAATTTCAAAACAATCTAAAGTTAAAAAAGGGGGGGTGGATGGCTTAATGGTTAGCGTGCGCGCGCTGTATCATAAAGTCTGTCATTGAGTCGACTGGCGTGGTTTCGAATCCCCGGTTGTACGTGACAAGGAGTAGGGTCGCCTGTCCAACCTCGTGGGTTTTCTCCGGGTCCTCCGGTTTCCTCCCACTGCTAAAGACCCCTACGCGCAAGCGAATAATTGAAATAAAATTAAACCATATGTTAGTCCCGAAATGACCTAGTTTGTGTCGAGTGGACGTTAAACCCCATTTCTCTCTCTCTCTCTCTAAAGTTAACAAATTGCATCAAAGTGGACGCCTCAAAGAGAATATTGAGATCGACACATTTATCGCACGATTTAATGACTCTAGTAGACAAGGCAAGACAAAGAGAGAAATTAAAGATATTGTCCAAAATTAATAGGGGTAAATTTTACCATAATGATAATCATCGACACAGATTACACTACGCATTTGATTGCTATTTTTAAAAGAGTGCATTGTTCACATTGCGCCCCAAATACGAAAATATAATTTATGACTTTTGTGTACGTACACATGATGACAGGATATTACGTATAAAAGACAATGTCGTGTCTTCAAAGTTATTTACATGTACATAATAATGTTGACGGCAAGGTCCATCTTCGTCTGGATGCCTGTCCGTGTTTTAATCACACGTATACGTTAAGTAGCTATAAATACTACGACGCATCCGTTCTGAGCACGATAACTGTCAAAATATATGACATACATTAATATGTTTTCTGAAAAGATTATGATAAAAACTGGTTTAGATTATAGGGCAAAACGAATCTGTCATTCCTGTTGGCTGATGTCCTTCATTGGAAACAGCCGCGGGTTATTGTTTGTGTCAAGTTTAAGAGAAAGACTCTGATCCATTAGATTCGTTTAAATCTTGACTTTAGTAGCACGGTGCAAAGCACTGGTCCATATAACCACCGACAAAAACCGTGGAACGCGTTTTGTTTCTTTAAAAATCGTCCAAATTATTGCAAAAATTGACAGAAATTGTAGATATTATATAGATATGCATATTCTTCACGCCATATCCAAAAATTAAAATGATTTCATAAAAAAAACTGTCAAACTCATGCAAAAGAACTGCTCTTGACTGTTCTTTCCGTAAGACCGTTTTTGTCACATTATTTTGTCGACCAACTTCTTTTGGGAGCCACGGTGGCTAGTTGGCTCGCTAGTCTGGAGGTCGGGTGTTCGATCCCTGCATTGGCCGAGAAAGATCATCAGGATTTTCCGACGTGGTTTCCCCTTGTCAGTGGTGCAGAACGGAGGGCCTGACAAGGACAGCTGTCTAGTCCTTCGGATGAAATGAAAAACCGAGGTCCCGTGTATATATTGGAATGCACGTAAATGATCCCCTGGCAGTTGAAATTCGATATAAGAGAAGGCGATAGTGCCGCTGCCCGGGCAAAATTTCCCTCATAGCACACTGTATGACGTATGCCCGTCTTCATTAGCCCAGTATAGGACGTTAAACTCCATTTCATTTCATTTCGACCACTTTTTGCAATACTTTGGCCGCTATACTGACATACTAAAACAGAAAAAAATAACGTTATTGTCGGTGATTAGTAGGACCGTTTTTGTCAAAATTTGGTTTACGAAATCATTTCAATTTTGGATATGATGTTTAGCATGTATATGCCTGTCGGTCACTTTTTGCAATACTTTGGGCGCTATTGACAAAAGAAACGTTTTTGTCGGTTCTAGTCGGTGATAACATATTAATGACAGCTTAGTCATTCGAGAGAAATTCGGATCGGAGACCTTCAAATTGGGGAATATAGCGAAGAATTACGGAAGCTCAAATACTAACTATTTTTTGTTTATTGTTTTCTATTTGTATTTTTAATTTTTAATTTTGAAAAATAATATCTAATTTCTTGTAAAATAATTTCAAATTTTGTAAAATAATTTCAAATTTTGTAAAATAATTTCAAATTTTGTAAAATAATTTCAAATTTTGTAAAATAATTTCAAATTTTGTAAAATAATTTCTGATTTTGTAAAATAATTTCAGATTTTGTCAAATCATTTCAGATTTTGTAAAATAATTTCAGATTTTGTAAATTTCTTTTCCATTTGGAAATTTTCTCCACAGTAATAGGCCTAGCATTACTACTACTAGAATGCTCTGTCGCCATCATGGGGGGGTCTGATAAGGATAACTGTCTAGTCGTTCGGATAGGACGAAAAACCGGGGTGCCGTGTACACATTGACGTGCACTTAAAAGATCTCTTGGCAGTTGGAATTCGATATACGAGTGAACTGTAGCGCAGCTGTCTGGTACTCGAGAAAAATAGAAATTGTTTTTTAAAAAACAAAATTATTAATTATTTTACAAAATGGAAATTAAAATACAAAATATAAAATTATAAGTTCAGAATTATAAATTAAATTTTAAAAGTATAAATTAATTTACAAAATTATAAATTAATTTTCAAAATTAAAAAATAATCTTATAATATTGTAAATTCAAAATAAAAATTGTAAATTAAGTTACAAAAGTAAAAATTATTTCGCAAAATCAAAAATTAAAAATAGAAATTATTTTTCAAAATTAAAAATCAAAAATACAAATAGGAAATCGAAAAATAATTCGTACTTGAGCTTCCGTAAAGGAGATTTTTTTTTTTGTTTTTTTAAGTGCAAAATCCCGATAACATTTTAAATTTGTGTCTTCCGAAATGGCAAAAATACCCCAAAAATTGTACGTGAACGCATTTGATGAAACATAACACGTTACATTATATTCACGGGGTCTTCGGTGAATTTAAATCTAAATGAGATACGTTAATTATTTCCAGAGTTATTGTCCTTGCCTTAGCCAAACTATGCCAAAATTAGCTTTTGAAGGGAATATAGTTTATATTTTCTATCTGATTTAAATGAAACTTAGCAGGCTACTTTACGTCTATGTGATCTCGAATGAAACCTGGATTTAAAAAAAACAAAACAGATGCATCATTTATCCACTGAAATACTGTCCTGGTTTATTAGTATCCAAATTAGCTTGTGATGACAACAAAGCCTACATTGTTCTATGCAGTTTTGGTACCTTGCTTTATATCTTATATGATTTGAATTATAGAAAGGGGGAAAGTGGGATTTAACGTCCACTCTACAAGAGCTAGGCCATTTTGGACAGACGATCCTACTGCGTGGAATCAACTTGACCCAATGGCAGACCCGATGATCTAAAGCGCACGCGTTAAACCATTCGAAACCCCCCCCCCCACACACGTTCAAAATTCTTCAAATATTCACATAATAATTGCGACACGGTGTTTGGTTAAAAAAATTAAAAAACTTAATACAAGTGGGGTTAATTAAGCCTACAAGACAAGTAATATTTTCTCCTGATCGCCTAACAGACGATTATAGTATATCTATCCCCCACCCCCGTCGCCACCAAAAGAAAACCAGTTTCTGCATGTCAATTTTTGTTTAGGTTTTGATATAGAATCGAAGTGAATTATCCTACTAATTTGACGTCACACCCTACAGATTCCTTTGATCGGACATAGAAAAAAGCTTTTTTTAAAAAAAAAATGTCTATCTTAATATGCCTTTTTATAAACACAGATATTAAATGTCGGTCATACTGTATATACCATGTATAATGTCAATAGATAACTTTACACGAGAGAAAACAAAGTGACAATATCTTTATCAGATGCTTTTGACATGATGGACTCTGTGGTTATACAGATTAAGATGGTCGGAATGCTGAAACTAGGTCATTTCGGAACTAACATATGGTTTGATTTTATTTCAATAATTCACTTGCGCCTAGGGGTCATTAGCAGTGGGGGGGGGACCCGGGGAAAACCCACGAGGTTGGACAGGCGACCCTACTCTAAATGTTATAGAAATGTCATGGATTTAACATTGAAGTCAATGGTAAGAGAATTAGTAGTCTGAGCCCACAGCGATGTTAAGATGTCTCATTACTACCCTAAATTACATGTCATATGTCAAACGATCAAAGAATTCATGCTGTATATTTGTTTTCCTGGGGGCTATAGGTAAAACTGCATTATAGAAAAACTTGTTCTGCCAGTAACCATTGAGAGCAATGACTAATGGGGTAAGGCATGTCGTTTAGTCTATGACATCTGGGTTTACGCCATGATTGATGCATTCCGTTGAAACCTATGGTCAGTTCGAAAGACATGAACTGGTTATTAAATAAACCCGGTCATCATGTTCTGAACTTGTCACGAGATTTTAGACGTCATGTGAGAATAAAAATATATGGGTCAGTGATCCTTTCAATTTGATATTATTCATGTACAGTAATCCACAAACCACGATTACTTTACAAACACGGTTACAAAATATCTTTCTATAAACGCTCGACGCGTTATTTGAATAAAATAAAAAAATTCTCGTTACACGCTAAATAGGCACTCAGATTGATTATTTAACATTTAATTAAAAAAAAAAAATCAAAATAGATCATCTACGCTACCAATAAAAGCTGGCGACGTATTGTCAGGCTCCAGCAGCACAGATCGATGAAATTCAATTTATCATTACTTTGTAAAAAAAATTGAACGGAACTGAACCATTGTTGGGCAGATATTTCTAGTATTCCTATTATATGAAACCTTTAAAGGCTTGTTTTACTACTATTAATGAAATGAAATGAAATGAAATGGGGTTTAACGTCCTACTTTTCTGCTCCTAACCTGGGCTAATGAAGACGGGCATACGCCATACAGTGTGCTATGAGGGAAATTTTGCCCGGGCAACGGCGCTACGGCCTACTCTTATATCGAATTCCAACTGCCAAGGGATCTTTTACGTGCACGCCAATGTGTACACGGGACCTCGGTTTTTCGTCCCATCCGAACGACTAGACAGCTTTCCTTGTCAGTCCCTCCGTCCTGCATCACTGACAAGGGAGAACCACGCCGGAAAATCTGGATGAACTTTCTCGGCCAATGCAGGGATCGAACACCCGACCTTCAGGCTAGCGAGCTAGCGTCTTACCCACTTAGCCACGTGATCCCCCTACTATTAATGAATTGTTGTGCTGTTATATGAGTGTTCTGGGTTGGGTGGGGTGGATGGCTGAATGGTTAGCACGTGCGCGCTATATAGTAAGGTCTGTCATTGAGTCAACTGGCATGGTTTTGATTCCCCGTTTGTACTTGACAAGGAGTAGGGTCGTCTGTCCAACCTCGTGGGTTTTCTCCGGGCCCTCCAGTTTCCACCCCCCTGCTAAAGACCCCTACGCGCAAGCGAATTATTGAAATAAAATTAAACCATATGATAGTCCCGAAATGAGCTAGTTTTGTCGAATTAATGTTAAACCCCGTTTGTCTCTCTCTCTCTCTCTCTCTCGATATAAGAGTAGGCCGTAGTGCCGCAGTCCGGGCAAAATTTCCCTCATAGCACACTGTATGGCGTATGCCCGTCTTCATTAGCCCAGTTCGGAGCAGAACAGTAGGACGTTAAACCCCATTTCATTTCATTTTATTTCTTCGTGATTTTACAATGTAGTTTCGCCTTGTGAGTGGTACAGGGCGGAATAGGCATAACAATGTTTGGGGACATTTGGAAAAGTTCGACCCTTTGGTCTTTGGTGATTTTTACCACAAGCGTTCCACAGGATACTGGACTTTTTCAAAGACTTCGTATCAACCCCCTGATCTCCCCGTGTGGTATCACATCCTACAAGATTGCTGTCTGGAAAAATGTCTTCTCGACCCCATAGTACACTGTGCGGCATATGCCCGTCTTCATTATCCCGGTTGGTGTAGAAAAGTAGGACGTTAAACCACATTTCTTTTCAACTAACAACACACGCAAATGGTGATAGACTTATATGATTTTATATTTGTACGAAAAAATATCATTAGAAAACACATAGATAATATATTATGACAAACATTGTATATTTTACTACATAAACAATAATACTTGCTTTATTATAGGTTATAATTTATTATCATTTTTTCTCACTATCTAAAGCTAAACAATATAGCACTAAATGGCGTAGTATAGAATTGGTGATGTAATGCTTTGGTCGATTCATTTTATAACTCAAAATATCTGTAAAATATAGATAGGTAAGCCATGTGATATGATTAGAGCGCTGTTATGTCGAAAACTCGTATATACGGTAAATACGACATGAATATTGTGTATTCAAGTTTACTGTCAGATCTATTAATAGACAATAAGACTCGATAAAATCGTAATTACGGCAAATAGGACCTGAATCGCACACAGACTCACATGTACTGTCAAACCTATCTAATTAATGTACAAATATATACATATTATCCAACAATGCCCAAAGACAAAAACTCTCCCACGAGACGGGCCTTAATCAGATCTGATGTATCACATACCAAACAAACATACCAACTGTTTGATGAAATCGCTGTACATATTTAATATAACCGGACGATCTCTTAGTACAATGACTCGAGAACGACAACGCACTATTATTATAACCAAACATTTATTTCTCATGAATTCCCGCTCTCACCCCCGATTCCATTGTATGTTCGGAACATATAAATCTCTATCTTCAGTTTGACAATAATTTATCAACCAATAATTTATCGAACACGCTGATGTACCAGTTGATTCATTTTATAAATAAAATTCTAAACATACACATGATAAAGCAGCCATATTTCTTTATACACAGATAAAATGGCCGTCAATAAGTTATGTTTTCTTTTGGTAAATACATGATATATTTATTGTAACTTTTCTTTTGAAATGATTCGGTAACATTCGTTTTAATCAGTCAATAAGCTCTTTATGAGTCATGCTTTATTTTACCACTAACTAAAGCCCAAGCATACATACATTAAACGTAACATAAATTAACAATTCAGATATATTCTATGCATAAACGTTTATAATATAGAAAACATTTAAATTGCAATTTTAATAAGTGAACAAAAACGTATAATAATTCTATAATATATAAAACATACAAAATAATGATATTTACAGTGAATTCACAACCTTTTTGTGTGAATACTTTTGTTAGCTGGATTGACTTGGCAGTGAGCTCTAAATAGTCTGTTTAAGGAATTAGCAATAATCGCACCCGATATTGACGACCAATTGTATCTATCTATAGGGTGGTGGTCAAGAGGTCCGGCTTATCAATCTGTAAATGTACATTTACCCTCCTTTATCTTACATAAAGCTAGGTTCCCACTGTTGTGCGATGCGTTACAATAGCAAATGAAATGGGGTTTAACGTCCCACTGTTCTGCTCCTAAATTGGGCTAATGAAGCGTTACGATAGGATTGTCTCTATTGAGTTCAAGATCTGGTACGTGCAGATCCGTTCGGATACGTTCAGATACGTTGAACACAATTGCTATGACTGACCACAATATATGATAAGACATAATAGGATCACCACGATTTCAATCGTAGCGCGAATCGTGATAGTGGGAACCTAGCACAAAATAGTCCCTTAAATGGGCCATGTCGTCATTAATTTGAGGGATTTTAAATCTAATGCAAAAATATTTGTCAATATAAACGGGATATAATCAGGACAAGCCAGCGTCTCGTTTTGATGGGCCTCGTTTTAATCCGCCTGAATTTAAATGTTAAATCATCAATTTGTTTTAATCAGTTTTTTTTAATAAGATATTGCCTGAAAAATGCAAATGGCTATCTGCGGTTCTCATCCCTTCTAATTGAATTCCCCGGATGCATGCTTGACTAAAACGGTAAATGTGTGTGAGGACATTGATAATAAGAACTAATCGGATTTGATCTTTTAAATATTTTGAAAAGAAAAATCATATTTATAGTTCTTTTTTTGAAATATAGTTTCGAGCTCCCCAGTTCACTTCCACGACATGTGACATTATGATAATATTAATTACATATTTGGGGTGTTAAATTCAAGCATTTAAATGTTATTAAACTCATCGCAATAGAAGTCATAAAGCACACACACACGTACACATGTCCGGATAGAGCTCAATTGTGACGCATTATGTAAGCGTTGTAGCAATATACCCTGGCATTTAATTGTAAGGTACACCACATTACATGGTATTATGTAACTAGTATAACATACATACTAAAGATTTAATTCCCTAAAGACCTGGTCACAATACTTAATTAAAGGTCATATACACAAAGTAAACATTCACATCACAAATTCCAAATTAAATAAAAAAAAACAAACTGGGCCTGGTCTTTGCATTGACTTTCTTTGATAAGGGTCTGGTATGTTGGGAGAAAACTCTATAAATTATTGTTCTCATACCGGAATTACTGTAGAATTACTATGGTGTGTAAAACCTGCTTGACTGTCGCTAACTTAGTCTGTTGTTCTGAACACATTTTTAAATCCGAATCCAGATACATAAATTTCTTAAAGGCATTGTAGTGTGGATTCTTTGGATTCAAAATGGCGGTCATACACACGTTAACAACAATGAATGCCAGTCGTTTGGAAAGTCAAATCCGGGTTTGTAAAACTGTTTATTTGTGATCCGATTTGGATTAAGATTCTTACACATCACATCTGCCCATATTTTTCAATAATTTCCATCCTTAACCAAGGTAGATAATCCGTATTCGACCAATGGAAAGACCAGGATACATCAAATCATCAGCATGATTTTATCGCATTTTGCATGAATATTAATTATGAGGTACACTATTATGCATAATATTCATTGCATACCTCTGACTTGTTTTGATTGAAAGCATCGTGTTATACACAATTTGAACAGGAAGAAGAGAATTTGAACTAAGATCAAAAGAACACAAACAAAGTCAAGGCCACAATAGAAAATAACAATCAAATTACATAGAGGTATCGTATCTTGTATCGTATCTTAATAATTGTAAATATTGGATATTATGATCTGTAATTTTCAAGGCAAGATAACAACATCAATATTGATTAAAATGTACCAATATTGAATACTAAATACACGCAGTGTTTTTAATTTCGAATGCAATGAAAACTATTGAGTTGAGATGTCACCCCTTTAAACATTGGATATCTCTATAGTAAAGGTATTGATAACTGTCACTTTGTAAAGGACCTACTAGTAACATTTGAACAAAATGGAAGCATTGATATAAATTAAATGCAGTTTACATAAGTGCGATCTCGCGGCAATTTCAACAACACAGTTACTAATGCCAAGGGACACAACTCCCTTTACAGCGGTGTTCATTTACAGTGTCAACTCATAAGATGTTTTGGTCGGACAAAAAAATCTTAAAAGTTTGAACAAAATAAGAAAATGAAATTCTAAAACAACAGAAAAGATAAACACAACGAACTTCTTAGAATGTGTCTAATAATATGATGCTGGAATGATAACAGTTTAACAAATATGCCGGCCATCTTGCGACAGCCATCTTCTTTACTCATTTTTCTTCCCGCCACTATAGGTTGGATTTTGAATATGTGTAGTTGGATCTTTGTAGATGGGATTCTCATCCTAATAAGAAACGGAATAAAATGGTATAATCATAGAAGTATATACAGTATCTATGTAAATAAAACAGAAGATAGGAGTGTCTCAGTTATTACAGACTAACAAATTGTTAATTTAGTTACTATGGTTACGTGTATAATAGGAGGCGGTGCAAATTTGCCCGAACAGCTGTGTTACTTTCAAATAAGTTCAGGCCCGTAACTAGGGGGGTGCACAAAGTTTCGCCTCCCCCCCCCCCCGGTGAAAATATTGTCGACCATAAAAACAATAGATATACATTGCCCGTCAATTTTACAGCACCCCCGAAGAACACTTCCCACCCCCGGCCCCCTCGTTGCCCTGAGCTAGTTACGTCCCTGAATAGGTTTCGCCTACTCTCACAATTTATATACTGTTCTTATCAGCCCAACGAGCATTACATCGCATCCAAATCAACCTAGACAAATGTCAAACGTGCGCTTACGTGCATGCTAAGGTGTACACGGGATTTTGGTTTTGCACCATGGTCAAACGGGGAAATAATGTTGGAAAATCCCGGGGTGGGGGGTCTCGGTCGACTACGGGATCGAACATAGTCCCTCTGGTTCTTGAGCTAGCGCCTTCCTCATTGAGACACAGGGCTCCCAAATCTAGAACAAATGTCAGAGTTACCCCTTTATCAGAGAATATTGATAAATCTTACCGATTGCCATCTTGCTCGTTCTTGATCCTTTTTAAACTGCGCAAACTCTTTAGCTTCTGAGCGTCGTTTTAAGCACCAGAAAATAATAAGGGCGATAATACCGAATAATAAAATGGCTCCAACTATTCCCAATGCTACTGGCAGGACCGGAAATTCTTTTGGACATTCTGAAAAATACGAATAAATGGTTTTAAAATTCGTAATAATTTTAAGACAGATTGCAAGATGGAATTAAAGGGGGGGGGGGGGCACAAGTCAGATAGTGGGCAGGAGGGGATGGGTGTTGACTTGTTTCTTTTTTCAGACTTCGGGCATAAGATTATTATATCTCTAAACCCTGTTTGTTCTAAGATCGAGAGATCGAGAGAGAGAGAGAGAGAGAGAGAGAGAGAGTTTAATGTCCACTCGACACAAGCTATGTCATTTCGGGTTCAATTTTATTACGATAATTTGCTTGCGCGTAGGGTCTTTAGCAGAAAACCCCCAAGGTGGACAGGCGACCCTACTCCTTGTCACGTACAACCAGAGAATCGAAACCACGCCAGTTGACTCAAAGACAGTGCGCATGTGCTAACCATTCGCCCCCCCCCCCCCCCCTGAGTTCAAACATGAGCATAATGGAATATCACTAAACCCTGTTTGGTCTAAGACCGAGTGAAGAGATATGTTTAATAAGTAAAAGACAAGTTAAAAATAGAAATATTAATTATCTAGGCCTACAGACCTCGACCACATACATCTCCGGTGTTATGGTTTATGTCTGACAGTTGTTTTTATAATCATGTCATAATGTTTTAACAAGATGTTAGAAATTGTGTCTACATTAAACGGTTAAAGGTTTCGGACATAAAGGGGCAGGGAATCATAATGAATGTCATACAAAGAGTTAAAATATTTCCTCGACGAAATGAAATGAAATGGCGTTTAACGTCCTACTGTTCTGCTCCGAACTGGGCTAATGAAGACGGGCATACGCCATAAAGTGTGCTATGACAGATTTTTTGCCCGGCCAGCGGAACTACGGCCTACTCTTATATCGAATTCCAACTGTCAAGGGATTTTTTGTGTGCACGCCAATGTGTACACGGGACCTCGGTGTTTTGTACCATCCTAACGACTAGACAGCTGTCCTCGTCCCACCGTCCTGTATCACTGACAAGGGCGAACCGCGCCGGAAAATCTGTATGAACTTTCTGGGCCAATGCAGGGATCGAACACCCGACCTCCAGGCTAGCGAGCCAGCGTCTTACCCACTTAGGCACCGTGACCCCCTATTTCCTCGACAGTCGATATAATAAAATGATAATAATCATAATAATAATTATGTATTATAAAGATGGAAATCTAACCAAGCGGCTGTTGATGAACGCAAAACAGGGCATGATGACACTAAGCTGACGATTCAAATCCACCCGGTATTGGGAACGAACTCAGTTACAATATATGGTAGTGAGACCAAAGTAAGACCAAGCCGAACAAAGTAAGTTACAACAAGGTATTGTGGCAAAAGAACGGGATTACACAGTCTTATCAACAATCAATAATAATACGCGGCCTTTCGAAAAAAGTAAGTTACGACACATTCTTTGGACCAAAGAGAGCGGTAATAGGACATGGGAACAAAGTAAGTTACAACAGGGTCTTGCTTCCAAAGTAAGCGATAACACAGTTCTTGGAACAAAGTAAGTGGTTGCAGTAAAAGGACAACTTGTTAATTTTGCTGAAATATCAATAATTACTGATAATACTGGAGGACTATGATCGAGGACAAAATTTACTGCATATTTTTACAGTCACACAAAAATTACATAACTACTGAAATTTAGAGACGGTAATACATTTGTTGTTTTAAATGTTTTTTGTTTTAAATGTTGACAAAATGTTTTATAATCATGTCATACCTAATGTATGACATAACAGGTTTCCATAAAACTTATCCTCTCTTACATAAAACGTCCTTAGGCTAGTAAAAGACATATATCTTGTGACATCCAAAATCGTGGTGAAAACAAATTACATGGGGTTAACATTATGTCATATAAAAAGTTAATCACCCCAAGTTGTACATATGCTCTGTATAATACTTTGCTTATCTGTCTCTAATTGACTTTTCCATAAGAGCGGGAGATAACCCCGATTAAGGCAGATACAAAAACGTGGGCTTGTGACTGATATTTGGATGTAGACCACTAAACACTCTTTAATGACTTTTAATGTCTATTCATGCCCATTTGCCCGGCTACAAGATTTCCCCAATTGTTTGTTGGGTCAAAGGCTCTCTGCCACTGACGGAGTAACATCTGGTAAAAGCTGCTGTGTCCCAAAGCATGCACGAGGTTGACCAGGTAGATTTTCAGATATACACATTTGAAGTATCATACTAAGATAAAAGTAACTACCCGGCCTTCATATTATCGTTACCAATTTCAGTCCGCCTCTAAACCATGAGTACTATTTCGATTAGGTGCAGGGCGAGCGGATTAAGCCGAAGGTGGAGTCTTTGCTAATGTCAGTTTCATGTAGTTGTTGGTCCAAACTAAAAATGTCTGTTCACCATGTGTGTGTGGGGGGGGGGGGGGAGGGCGCAAGCGATTTAACACGTGCGCGTGAAATGATAAAGTCTATCATTGAGTCAAGTGGCCAGGATTCGATTTTTCGCTTGTACGTCACAAGCAGTAGGATCGTTTGTCCAACCTCGTGGGTTTTCTCTGTTGAATCTTTGTAAAATTGAGTTTGAGAAATTTAGGAATTTACAACCAAACTGTAATTCGAGTAAAACAGAGTGAACTGTTAAGCTTTAAAATAAATGGCGTAGACTCCAGAAGCGGATGAATTTCGGCTATTTAAAATTGGACAAATCAACAAAATATATTCAAAATACATTTCAAATTCCCAATAAATTTAGAATCCAATAGTGCAATTAGAGCCAAATGAACCATTATGCCAATTTGAAGAAGTAAATTAAGCAAAGATCGGGCGGCGGACACAGGTGAAGACAATATACACTTACGTTAAAAATAAATGATACGTACCTTCTAATCTTTGTACTTTAATGACAGGATCTATATCATTATATTGATATGTATATTTACGTATACAATCTGTGACTGCCGATCTATGTATACAATGGGTTACGTCAGGGTCTGAACCTCTTTCTGAAACAAATCGAAAGTAGACAAAATGAGAGTTTAACCTACGTCGATTGGTATTCAAAGATGGTTATTGAAGGTTCAAGAACAGAAGCATGTGTAGTAGGGCTGTAAATACGCGGTGTGTTGTATATATGCGGACGCCTAGATCGGTCTGTACTGTACATACGCTAGCTCGAGTTTTAATTATACGCGTACTGACTTCTTCGATGGAGGGGGATTCCTTTTGGATCACTCGGTTGCGGTGTGTGGATTCCATGCAGGAACATGCTGTCATACACGGTTAAAACCAGCATTACTTTGATAAGTGGTAGACATAAAGCACAAAAGCATACACTGATCAACGTAAGTAAAAGACTCGATCAAAGTCTATTAATTACGACTTGGAAATTAGCACAGTCCCGTACAAAATATATCTATAGAGTTTTCCATTGCATCCCTAATAATTCTCAAGTTGAGGTCAATGAGATAAAGTTAAAACTCTACAACAACGAACATCAATTTCAAGCCGAGTGGGTGGTGATTTTCGGTTGGTTACAAAGTGAGCAAGGGCATAAACCCTAGCAACTTTGAAAATTCCACATCAATTTCAAGAAGATCGGAAGGTAAGTCTATCGCAAAAGTCTTTCCAAACTTCTACAAAGTCAGCAAGGGCAATAACCCTAGCATGAACAATTCCAATCGGATTATACATCCTGGATCAACATAATCTTTCTTTAAATATACCTTTTACATGCTTGCTACATTAACTTACCAGGTAAGCTATTGACAGCTGTAACAAATTTACAATGATCTCTACAGTATGAACTATTATAGCCTCCATCACCAAATCCTTTACACATAGCACAACCTTTATAAATAGCACATTTAGTTGGACATCCCTAGAAAATAAATACAAAACGATTAAAAAAAACTAGTTTTAACTTGAGCAAGGTGGCTGGTATTCCATTAACTATTTAATATTAGACCTATATGATACAAATAAACGGCTCGTATTAGGCCTATACGATACAAATAAACCCACCATGCAAGTGTTTAACAGCAAGTTAAAATATACATATTGGAAAAATTATGTATAGCCAAAAGGTGGATGGCTATTTTGTAAGAATTAATATATTATTGTTTTTACATATACACTGTGCTGTTTATTTTGGAAATAACTCGAACTCTAAAAGACACAACCGGTCTGGATCCATCGTCCCATTCGCACGTCTAGACGATGTTTGCTGTCAAGCAATCCGTTCTGCGCCACTAACAAGGTCGGTGGATGGGTGGGGGAGTTGGGGGCAAGTTGGATTATCCCAAAGAATTTACTGTTAGTACCGTAGCTCCTATGGTTTTTCTTTTATTATAGTGTTGATATTTCTACTGCACCACACAAGTGTTGCTTACATATGTTCTGTATCCATGTACAGTCTGTTCTATGTATTACTGTGTGTTATCAATTAGCTACTTACTGGACAATCTTCACATGTAGGACCCCTATAATCCCCCTCTTTGCTACATTGACATCTTCCACATTCACATTCACCTTGACCATTACATATTTCCTGTAATATAAAATATATCTACCATTACAAATTTCCTGTGGTACACACAATATACCTGCCGTTACAGATTTTCTGCTATATAACATATATCTACCCTTACAGATTTTCTGCAATATAAAATATATCTGCCATTACACATTTACAAAATACAGATTTCCGGCAATACAAAATATTTCTGCCATTAAATATCTTCTGTAATATACACATGTCATTACAGATGTCCCGTCCAGACAAATCTGGAGAGATAAAAACAGATGGAAACAGGTGCATGGAAACGGTTCACCAAACCCCAACTGTCGATGTTTCTTAATTTTTACGTCTCACCCGAACGCTTTGTTACAGTTTCCTTTCTATTCGTACGTCGATATCTTTTCTAGATACATAATATTTTAGTATACAACTTACGCCATTAAGTGCTATACATGTCTCATTTTTAGTTGAACAACCACAATCTTCTCCTGTATATCCCGGTAAACATTGGCACTGACCACATTTACATACACCACGTGTTGTACCTAAACGATATCACATGCAATTGTGAAATCAGAATAAAGTTATTTGAATGAAATTTTCAATATATTCATTTTGCATTATCTATTTTTGAACTATTATAGCAAGAATGGCCAGCTCTTTATCTAAATCTTACATAATGTATCTTTACGTTACATAAGCATGACAAAGAAAGAATTATTACGTTTTATGAAACACTTTTGCTATTAAGTTAAGCAGCAGGTTCTTGGGAAAATTATGACGGTTTTTGAAACACTTTTGAAATGAAATGGGGTTTAACGTCCTACTGTTCTGCTCCGACCGGGCTAATGAAAACGCGCATACACCATACAGTGTGCTATGAGGGAAATTTAGCCAGGGCAGCGGCACTATGACCTACTCTTATATCGAATTCCAACTGCCGAGGGATCTTTTACGTGCATGCCAATGTATACACGCGACCTCGGTTTTCGTCCCATACGAACGACTAGACAGACGTCCTTGTCAGTTGTCAGACTCTTTCTTACACCATGTCGGCCAATGCAGGGATCAAACACACGACCTCCAGGCCAAGTAGTCAGCGTCTTACCCACTTAGCCACCGTGGCTCCCTCAATTGTAAAAATATTCTTGCGAATCCTTCTTAACTATCAAATGAATTTTTGTCAAATATTTCATAGCATTGGAAGCTGTGTACTTCAATATACTAACCACCACAAATCTGTTCAATTGAATAATAACAATTATATTCATTATATTCACAATATACTTACCACCACAAATCTGTCCAAATGAATAATAACAGTTATAGTCATTACATTCACAATATCTTCCTGAATATATTCTAGCACTGTTAGCTCTAATAGGATAACACTGACATTCTCCACATACACAGTCACCATGTTGAGAACATACAATACTAGAATTTACACTGTAAAATAGATCATATAATACTAGAATTTACACTGTAAAATAGATAGAATTTACACTGTAAAATGGATAGAATTTACACTGTAAAATAGATAGAATTTACACTGTAACATAGATAGTATTTACACTGTAAAATAGATAATACAATACTTGAATTTACACTGTAAAATATAATACTAGAATTTACACTGTAATATAGATCATACAATACTGGAATTTATACTTTAAAACAGATCATACAATACAAGAATTTACACTGTAAAATTATAATAAATAAATATTTTCTAAATATCTGTCAGTTAGAAAAGCAAATTGCATTGCCCTTTCCTGGTGAGGATTTGATGCTCAAGAGAGACAAATCAATAAATTAAAAATTTTGCGCCTTCCTTTACTCAACAGTAAATATCCCCTCTTGATAAGAGGTTGTTTACTGGGCGATAGTGTGTTAATCATTACTTTACGTTACAATCGAAAATAAATTGTGGACTGATAATAGTTTTAAAACTACTTATATTTACAAATTACAATTTATAAACACGGAGAGGAATACGTTTTAACGTTCAGTCAGGACAAACTAGGTCATTTTATGACAACAAAATGGTACAATTTCAATAATTCGCTTGTGCGAATTTACGAACTCGGCCATATAAGATGAAACGAAATTCAGGTAAGCCTGGTAGAAAAAAATTGAAATCTTTGAAAAGTTCAGAATCTTCAGTCATTTATTGCTTTGCCTAGCCCAATTACAATAATTTACAATCAAATTTCGTTTCATCTTATATGGCCGTGTTCGTAAATTTGTGCGTTACCCAATATTTAGATTTCAGTGAAGTCCGCCAAGTTGGTTAGAAGTCGGGGACGTATTTTTTAACAGCGTGTTGTGTCGCTCATACTGAATCTAGCGAGGTAAGCAAGGTTTTATTTTCTCACTAAGACGTTCCTTTACATCGTACAGGCGTTCACACGGATTGACACCTCACCGTTTAGCATAAAAAAGTTGCCCAGTAAAATTGACTGGGAAGCGATTTCAGTTCCGTCAAGAATTCGATAGGACGGTTCCTAAACGTGCAGGGCGAATGTAATGAGACCTACGTTCAGAGCTGAACTAGCGACCCTACACCTTGTCACATAAACATGCCCCTTGAATCAAATGATAGACCATATTATATCTAAAGCGAACGCACTGGACCAATCGATCACTCACCCCTACACCGAGTTAGAAAGGATTACACGTTTTGTACTGGATACTAGTTCTAAATCTTACTTTGATTTACAATTGATAAGTGATTGTGTACTGGATAATTCCGTCTCATCGCATTCACACTCTCTACCATAGCGACCTTTGTTACAAGTACATTGACCGCATTCAAACGTACCATTACCGTTGAAACATTTAGGACTATTCCTCTCCTGTAGACAAATAACATTACAATTAAATAAATATTAGCATGCCAGGTTGTCAATGAAATCAATTCTAGTAATCCCATATAGGCCACAAATAAAGTTAACTCTGTAGATTGGAAAACACGCGATTGGAATTAAAATGAAATGAAATGATCCGGTTTAAGCTCTTACTGTTCTGCACTATGAAAGACATTTCCCCGGGCAGCTGCAATAGCTTAAGTCTTACAGTGGTATAAACGGGATCTCGGTTTTACATTCCATCCGAACGACGAGAACCTTTTCCTTGCCAGGTCCCATGTAAAGGGAAGTCAGGCTTGACAATTTAAAGAAACTTTCTCGGCCTATTGAGGGATCTAACACGGGGCGCCCTAGTTAGACCCTGATTTAGGTCTAACATTATAATCCCAAGAATTATTGAATCCGAATAGAATTTGTAGTATACATTTCTGTTCAGCTCATAGCGCAGACTTTCTTATTCAATCAAATTATAGCCGCCATCTTTGATTTTGTGTCTAGGGCCCCCAACAAGCTAAATCCGTTCCTGGCTGAAAAATATACTGAAAGAAAAGATATATTTTTGACCCACCTCTTGTCCGGGTTTTTCACATTCACAATCACAGATAACATCAAGATTAACAGTCAACTGTTCAGATAATCCAACAGCACTGATTTCAACAGACCTCTTACGGTTACCGGCACAGTTGTTAACATTTAATGTTACCTCGAACTCCACCTAAATAATTAGAAGTCATAACATATCAAGAGGACGACGAATATAGAATCTATGTAATAGTTAAGAGCTAAAAATATATGAATGACTCTCTATGCGTGATTTTAGCGCTATAGAATCAATCGATTGCTACAATACCAGTCTTGAAGTTGCTTCATTTCCGTTCAGAATTCACAAAGATATGACGAGTTAAAAATTCCATCAATCTAATGTGTTGTTGTTGTTTTTGATGTTTAACGTCCGCTTCCACCGAAGGTGATATCGCAGACAAGTCCTATTTTTCATTTTTATTATCTTAGCGCATGCGCAGGGGTCTTTCCTGTGGGCGGAAACCGGACTACCCGGAGTAAACCCAGGAGGTTGAGAAAGCGCCCCTATCTCCAAGCAAAATCCGCTCACACCAGGGAACGAAACCACAACCGCAAGCTAGAGGTCGAAGCGCGGCACTCTAGACCACTGGGCCTTTCCAGCCCCCTATCGATCTATTCTGCTCCCTACGTATAAAGACGAAGTCATTTTGATTTGCCGTGAACTAAATTGACGGGCCTGTTTTAAAAATGACTGAATCCAAGACGGGAGGTTATCTAGCGGTGTCTTAATTAAATATTAAATAATCTTTAGCGTGGATTAAGACGCTAAACAATAGTAAACAATAACGGCGATATTTTAGTTAAATTAAAACAATTTCAAAATTAGAAATGTAATTAAATGGTTAATGCCATTACATTGAACGGCTCATATAAATTCGTATAATTAAGAATTATAATCAATTGACGAAAGTAACCTAATTCTAATAAGGAAAACACTTGCATGTGTCCAAATTAGGATAACACATCATAATTCTTTCCAAAGAAGTCAATAGATTCAATCCGAGTGCTTTGCAATTATAGCGCATATGCATGAATTATAAGTCCGAGGGAGACAAATTTATTTTTGGACATATAAAATAGCCTTACCTCATCACCAATTTCTAAACCTTCACACTTATTAGTAACAACTAATGCCGACCTGAAAATAATTCATTATATTACATGCTTTGTCTAACTATTTCAGCATAGTCTCATTCATATTCAATGACTCGCCAATGGAGGATAATGCCATAAACGCGTACAAGTGCCGTTGTTTTTAAATAGGATCATTTGATTTTTTCAAATAAATCAATCTTTAGCAGATTTTCTGAACAACTTGTTTATTTTTATCACAGTATATGTCAAGTTCAGTGTTCTGGTGTAAAAATATGCAAAAATACTATTTTTGGCAGATTGTTTGAAAAGGTACTCGTCCACCTTATTTTACTAGCATCCTTAATTACTGGCAAGGCATGGTGGCTCGGTGACCTACAAGAGCGTTGTTTTGTCAATATCGCCCAAGGGATTACAAAAAGTGATCGACAAGGAAAGACGTGAACCCCATTACATTTATTTCTGTCAGAAGGTCTAACTACACACCGTGGCAAGGTACTACCCATAGTTGTTCGGCGTGCACGTAAAATATCCCTTGGTAGTTGGAATTGAATATAAGAGTAGGCCGTATCGCCGCTGTACGGGCAAAATTTCCCTCATGGCACACTGCATGGCGTATTCCCGTCTTCATTAGCTCACTCGGACCACAACTGTCGGACGTTAAACCAAATTTCATTTCAATTCACTCATTGCACACGAGTGGGTCTTGGTATTCCGTGCCATCTAAACGACTAAAAGACCTGCAGGTAAAGCTTTAGCTCAACATCCATGAAAAACAAATTATTAGCTATGTTAACGTCTGTAATGAGACGAGCAAAGATTAAAGGAAGGAAAATGACCAAGATGTTGACTTCAATTTTTCTCACCTCAGGAATGTTCACCATGTTTTTAGCATTTATCTGGAAGTGCCCGAAATTTCTCGAACACAATAAAAGAAACTTATGGTATTTGATTTGGCGTCTTCCAATTTTAAAACATCCTGGTAAAACTCGGGCTATTTATATTGTAGTCCTGTTCGGCCATAGCCGCATACTATTGCCGACCTGGATGTTTGTGTAGTTTTCTGAGTGGTTGGTCCGGGTTGGTTCCGAGGTTGCCACCATTGTTTATATCTGATCGACAGTTTATATACACACTAAAACTAATTCGACCTGAAACGGTCCTCGACGGAAATAGACAAACATTTTGTCAAATGTTGCCCTCCACATAATAATTGATACACAAAGCAGATTAGAATTTAAAAAACCTACCCTTTACATTTTGATTTGAAATCTATTGTGATATTTTCTGAATTCTTTGGTAAAAATTCGATTCTTGAGCGAAGTGTCTGAAGGAGAAAAACACACAAATTTAGACCATGGGCAAACAAAATGTGTATTACTATTTAAATGTAAAAAATGAAAAAATGAAAAAACAAACAATGTCATCTCATTCCCTTTAAAGGGCATATAGCTCCATTCTTTGGAACCTTAAAAAACTAAAATAAAATAAAATCGGTCTAAAAGCATATATTAATATATAATGAATGTATATAAAACGATTTACATTAATTCTCTTATTGTAATTTCTAATCAGTTACGTTCGGTAAAATACATGAACAGTACAAACTGAACAGTGCGCCTGCTTAATCCATTCATTCTACACGTTTTATTAATTATCATTTTGTCTTTTGTGAATCACCATTGCCTTGTCGGATATTGTATTTCTTTGTTCATTACAAATGGACTGATATTGAATTCTAATTCGTGTTTTGAATGTCGAATATTGTGGATAAAATGAGTGAAAGGTTTAGCTCCTTTAACTATACATACTTACATCATAGTTTTTCTGCACTAAGCCAATAATGTTGGCTGATCCACCCACCAATTTTCCTATGGTGGCCCCCTCTAGTCTCTTTACCAGTTTTTCATGCAGATTATACACGTTTTCCATGACGGCAAATATAACATTGGTACGCGTTTCACGAACTTTGGCGGCTATTTGGCTTACAGATGGATAATCCTGCAGATTAAATTTATACATAGATAATATATAGAAATATTCTTTAACCTAGCGTAATTTGCACTAGGAGAACTATCGCTTTAAGAATAGATTGCCATATCGAACACCATATTGAAAAATAGTGTACGAATAAATCATGCGATTCTTTTCCGTTTTATACAGACTAAATAAACAAATAAACATGCTCAATTCCATTACGTTACAAATAAAAAATAAAGCCAACGAACCGTTTTTGATTAAAACATTCGAAATGAGAATTAAAATGCTAGTCATGAACAGCGTAAGTTTTGTAAATTGTATGACCTAGCTCAAGCCGAACATGTTTAATTCGACCACTACGTCATGTTTAGCCTTGGGTTTCGAATTCCAACTGTGACAGTTTATTTTACGTGCACGCTCATGTGCACATGTACCTCGGTTTTTCGTACAACCTAAACGACTAGACCCTGTTCCTGCACTCTAATAGTTCGAACTATGCTATGACACGGCCATCGAAGTTCGTTCAATTTACAACCAAAAATCACGATACTACAATATATTAGTGTATAACATACCATTTTGAGGTCATATCCTACAAGAATACCACTTCCGTTTAGATGACACATACCATCATTAGGCACTACTGCCCCACCAAGCTGAAAACAGAAAAATAAACTAATTAGACATTATTTAAAAAGGAATCACACGCACATGACACACTCCTTACACGACAGTGCAATGATTTTGACTTGAATTTTAAGATACCTATAAGTACTACGCAAAGCCTACTTTCCATGTATACGTGATCTCGACGTTACATGAAAACGGCCCCATTACTATTACTATTACGCCGGCAAAAACGTGCCCGGAAAAGCCGCGAAAACGCGTACATGGAAAACGGGGCTAAGCCAAATTTAATTGTCCCCATTGGTAATATTTGAAACATAAGTTGACAGCCTGGTGAGAAATAATGAAAAAAGACATCCTAGTTATCAAAAAAAATGTAAATGAGGCTTCCAATAAAATGCATGTACATAATGTTCTGTGTCGTTTTGATATTAGGTTAATAATTTGGTAGTGTTTGCTTTATGTTGACAATAATACAATTTGTGTACACAATGTCCTTTATTCTTTGAAAACTGTGTTAAAATGATTCCATTACAAATCCTATATAATACGTACAATTCCATCACCAGCTAAATGAAATAAGGAATTAGAACTGTAGACAACTATTCTTCTTGATCTTTCACTCCAGCCTATATCATCCTACAAAATATTAAAATAGACCACAATTAAAATAGTTAACGAAATATTAATTCTTACAGTTAACTTCAGAATGCCAAAGAATATTAATAAAATCTCCTGTTTTTATGCCCCTTTTTTATCCCCCCCCCCCGGTCAAATAGACTCAATTGCCACATATCAATTTGGATATCAATTCATTCAAGATTTTTGATTGGTAAAATGATCTAACGTCTTTCAATCGCTCTATTGGACGGGCGTCACAAAGTTATTTCTTTAGTATAATATGAAGTAAAAGTAAAAACAATCAAACAATATAACCGTATAATGTCTATTAGACTCGATCAGAACTAGATTTACCTCACACGATAACACTTGCATGATACCATCCATACCACCTTCTGGATCATCTAAACTCTGGGACATTACATCTAAAGCTTTTCGCATGTTCGTCTGAAATGGTAAAATATAACAGATTTGATTTTGGACAACTCAAGCAAACATCACGGGTCTAACAAAATCTGAAATGGTAAAACATAAAAGATTTGAATTTGAACAACTCAAGCAAACATATTGGATCAAACAAAATCATTGGTTAATTATCTCACAATATTTCACTAATTTGTATCCATTTCACCAGTATTCTGTTTTCGTTATCAATGTTTTTGTAAGAAAATAAAACGAAAGAAGTGTTAATAACAGAAGCAAGATAGTAAACAACTAGGCCTAGGTACTGCGATAATAAGTAAAATTACGGTCACATTATCACTGTGAAATTTAATAAATGCAATAAGATTCAGCAAAAATATGTTATTGCTTTTGTCAATACGTAAACTTACTTTGAAAGTTTCTGGATTTTCGGTTAATTTCTGTAGGTTTCGGAAATCAAAAGGATATCGGCATCCCTGCTTTAACGGACATCGATTGGTTAACCTGAAAACAACAAATATATATACGTCATTAAAGTTTATTGCGTTCTAGTGGCTTTGTAAGTAAAGCACTGGTTCGAACTCTTATATACTATTCAAAAAAAAGTAGGGGATATTTGATTTTGGGGGCATAATACTAAAATATGCAAATGACTACGAAAAAAGTCACTATAGAACCTAACAGAAGAAACATTTCCAGTTACATGTGACGCCCAAACGCACCAATAGCTACCGCATGGAATGCAGGTGATGCTTGGGATCATCATGAGGGTCCAACCCAAGATTTGCACGACTCTGACTTTGAATGTTACAGTCATTGTGGCGTTGAATTCCAGGGTGGAAACATCAGTTTAATTGTTTTAGTGACCAGAAAACAAATTTTGATATGCGTCGGCTTACCCAAAATGAAAGGTTACGTGCCCTTGGCATGCTACAGATCGGCACAACACAGGCGGTTGTGGCGCGGACGATGAATGTTTCTCAGTCTGTCATAAGCAGGCTATGGTCCAGATACCGTGATACACAATCTGTACAGGACAGACCACGCTCAGGTCGACCAAGGGCGACAACTCAAGCCCAGGATCGATTTATCCGTACCTTGGCCTTGAGAAATCGTGTCATCACAGCAAATCAGATCAGCGCTCGTCTTCAAACAGACACTGGTGTGAGAGTGAGTGGCCAGACGATTCGGAATCGACTGCATAGGGGTCACCTTCGCGCCCGACGTCCTCGCGTGATCCCTTGTTTGAGAGATCATCACATTCAGGCAAGACGTCGTTGGTGTAGGGATCGTCAACACTGGGATAATCGACGCTGGAGCAATGTGATGTTTTCAGATGAGTCAAGGTTCACTGTTGATTTTTTGGACAGACGTAGGAGAGTGTGGCGTCGTCGAAACGAGCGCTTCCAAGACGTTAACGTCATCAGACATGATCGATTTGGGGGTGGTTCTGTTATGGTGTGGGGAGGCATCACTGTTGCTGGAAGAACGGCTTTACATGTTGTTGCAGGGCGTGTTACAGGCCAGTACTACCGGGACAACATCTTGGCAGTCCATGTTGTGCCGTTCGCACGACGTCATGGCCGCCGTTTCATCTTCCAGGATGACAACGCAAGATGTCACAGGGCCAGGATCGTTACAGGTTACCTCCAACAACAGAACATCACCACATTACCTTGGCCAGCACTGAGTCCCGACCTCTCCCCCATCGAGCATGTCTGGGACATGCTTGGACAGAGGTTACGTCAACGTCAACAACGTCCTGCCAATGTCCAAGAACTTGCTGCTGCGTTGCAACAGGAATGGGACAATCTGGACCAAAATGACCTTAGACGTCTCATTAGGAGTATGCCACGTCGGATCAATGCTTGTTTGGCAAACAGAGGAGGATTTACCCGTTACTGACTTGGTTGTGATGCTGTGGTAACTTTGCTGTTTGACCCCGGGTATCATTTTACCCTTATAATGGTCAGTCTGTGCCTTACTTAGTCTAACGATCATTTGGAATAAATCGATGAATGTGAACTTCATTTCATTTTGTCATTTGTTTCTTCGTCAGTTTCATTAGGTGACTTTAATAACACTTAAAAATCAAATATCCCCTACTTTTTTTGAATAGTATATGGCCATTCGCCTCTGGCTCGCGATAATGGTTTCGATCCCTGGTGTGAGCTTATAAGACAAGAACAGTACATATACTATAATACCCCTCGCGTTGCCTCATTTAATTAGACCTAATTTTCTCCCCATCCCCTAAGGGGGATTTCTGGGGTCATTGCTTCAGTTATATCATAATTATACCATACAATCTCATACTTACATTTCATCAGTCCAAGGAATAAAAGGCATAGCTGCTTTATCTACAAAGTTTCCAAAACCAAGTCGAAAATTTTTGGTTATTTTTGACATACTGGCACCTATAATTATAAATACATAGATATTCCAAAACATGTAACAGGCAGTATGGCTGATGGTGATTTATAATAATGCTATTTAACTTTAGGACAGTCATACAAAACAATAAGCTCCGCTTGAGAACAGACATGAAGCCAGTTGACCGACATTTTAATTCCTAAATCACTATTTTAGTTGAACACACTTCCATTTTCACATTTAATTAAATCAAAAATAATCATTTATTCTTGCAAAGAATTAACCCGGATTAGTACACTATCTGTGTAATATAGCGGTCATTCAGTGCAGAGATCTACGCTCAAAGTAGATAGTTCTCTGTGTAGAGAGCATGTGGGCCAGTTTTCAACTGAAGTAAAATAAAGCCAATTCATCTTTCGACCGCGTTGGATTTTGCGGTATAAACGACTTCATCAAAATTGTAGTTAATTAGTCAAATGCGATTGAAAGGTTCGCAGTCAGTATATATATATATAGTCATTACCACATCAACTTACTCATGTCTTCAGCTAAACTAATCAATCTAGCTTGAGCATCTCGTTCACGTATCATTGAATACGACATATCTAACAGAAAATATATATCTACAGGATAATTCGCAGCTTGTTTAAATACAAGTTTTAAATCAACAGGCTGATCTGGAAAAAAAGAAAGAGAAATATTAATGGACATTAGACATTTTCTTCATAGTTAAGTGCAATAAATGTCTAGAGTGGGGTGTGACGTATCGTAGAAAATACTTTTTATGATTTCCACCCCAGATGGCTACTTGAGTGCAACGATGGCTCATTAACCAGGCTGAGTTCCTGCGTTCGATTAAAAGAAATTTGCTCGGGATTTTCCAGTCTGGTTACTCCTTGTTAGTGGAGCAGGGCAGGAAAATGATTCGAGTTTTCGTCAATAAGACCCCTAATTTCCCAAATCTTAAATTGCTTTAAACTTACTTGGACGGACTTTAAGGTTGATTTCTTGAGGTTGAACTTGAACGGGTTGCTTCCCTTTATCACCATCGACAACACCATCATTCTAAATGAGGGAAAAAGGCGTTTAAAATACAAACGTGATTTAAAGTTGATATAGAAGATATAAACCGTCTTTTATCACATTGGCCATCACCTCAATGCCCGGCTATATTACCAAGGGCAGCTAACAGTAGCGGACCAATTGGTGGGACAAGACAGAGATGATAAATTATTTGAATTGGTCATTAGTCAGGTTGGTGCTATTGTGAGTTTATTTTCTACCATTAATTCGTGGCAGGGGAAAATGCAAGGTCTATATTTTGTCTCAAACGACGTCAATATTTCAGGTCGCTTTGATTTGCGTAAAATTGACAGGTGTGATTAAATTTAATTTTGATTGTCGATTTGCTTTCTGAGAAATAGTGTTCAGCAATTGACTCAAAGTGAAATAAAACTTTAACCCCATAGAACTAGTCCGTCATTAATGACAATACCTCATTGGATATTGTTTTAACTAAAAAAGGATCAATGGCTTTAAATCTGTTCAAATCTCCCAGAATTTGTTATATTTAAAGCCTCCAATGTCCTAGTAAACAAATATTTGTTTCCTGATAGCACATTTCGTCAAACACAATTTTATTAAATACAGATCTATTATTCGTTCCGTTTTTTATACATTCGATGGCCTCCACTACACCGTAGTGAAGACATGTAAAACGAAATTTTGTACTTTAAACAAAGAAACCAAATTTTAAACTTTAAAAAAGAAGCGAAATAAGAACTGTGTTTTAATAAAACAGTGACAAACACAGAATCCGAGTGCGAATTGTCGGCTGTGCATACAACACTACTGAATGAATGATGAGTTTATTCAAAAACAAACCTTGACTAACTCTAGTTTATATTGTGGATGAACTATCTTATCTGTAGGACACGAGCCAGTCGCTTCAAAATGGTCAAACAGTTCACATCTCGAGGAATGGCGAGGAAAATTCTGAAATGGAACATAATAAAATGTTGTTTTTTGTATTGGATGTGTGATATTTCTTAAGAACAAAAAGAAAAAAAATTTAAATCAGTTAATTTTTCACTATCTATGCATACGAATTATTTCAAAAAAGGGCCCGGTTCACCACATATATTAGTCCGTGTTATTTGTAGCCAATCTCCCTATCGAATGACCCTCCCACGGCCACCTATCACCACCATTGCGTTTTTACTGAGTTTATAACCTATACCCGATGAAGAGGGTATGTCTTTACACTTTCAGCTAGGTTTGAGGCGGAGAGGTAACAGAATTAAGGGGTTTATTATGTATATTGACGACGCTACTTACAATGGGTGAAACTCGATCAAGCCTTAGAGGAATAAATCAACACATGCGGCTCGCGATTTGATAATAAGCGTTCCACTCAACAATAACTGACGAAAACGTAATGTCGGACAAGGATACGAGAATTAATATTGAAATGAAATGATTGGGTAAATTTATACAAGTGGTCTGTATCCTGAAATTCCACGCAATAAAACAGAGTTATTCCCCTTACCTCATCTGGACACCACGCGCATACACTTGCCGTCTGTATACATTCACCGCATGTTTTTACGTTAGCACATGGGTTACTTAATAATCTAGCAACTGAAATATTAGATAAAAATAACTTATGGTAAGTGCATTTTTATAGTTTTAGCAGTTTCTTAAAATAATATTACTGTTCTAAAATAGACCCACTAACCTGCCAAGTGTTTAAGCACAGTTTCGCTATTTTCACTCCGAGTTTCAAGCACCCCAGAGTCTATAATTATTATAAGATTTTGAATAAGTGGAGTAACTAAGGTTGCTTGGAATCCAGTCGTCCTTTCAAGGCTAATTTATGGTTATTTTTATATAGTATAGTTATGCACGGAAACAATGCAAAAGAGAGAGCGAGAGGGTCGGGGGGGGGGGGGGTTGTAACTTGTCAATTTTCACTACAGCTTCCTCTAATCCCAACTGTCAACGAATCACCCCATTATAAACATGAAAAAGCCAGAGACAAAATAAATTCATTTTCAACCCACGAGCTTTCTCCCTTCAAGTAACTGGGATTCTAACAGGGTTCACTATGTTCTTGGGTGCCTCTGCAACAGTCTCAACACATGACGTATTCGGAGACATTCCGACACCCTTGAATTAATATTATCCAGTTTCCTAACTATCCAAGTACAGATGACCCAACTTCACTTATATAACACCAACGAAAACAGTAGACACTCTTTGCAGATAACACCCTTAAAACGAGCCTAAATTATGCGTGATTTGAGCAAATACATTTACGTCAAATTAAACATACATTATGCAAGAGCTAAATCTGTCTATTGCAGGTCATTCTTTAGGCCTGAAATGTTATCTAAATTATTAATTAGACATTAATTAACTTATCCAGACCATAATCAACTCTAGATGGCATCGCTAGCCTGCGATCTTAAGTGGATTGTGAGCCGATTTACTGCATAACTTTCCTTCTCGATTAAACGATTAAATGGATAATCGAGACTATGCTGTTTATCGTACTGACATTAGTAATGATGACCGAGGCTAGGCAGAAATTTCATTCGCATAGTTCTCGGTTCATAGTGGATCAATTTGAATGAAATTTTCAGAAAATTGCCTTTACATTATCTAGTTTTTAATTATTATAGTGAGAACTGCCAACTCGTTATCGATTTATATTGAACGCATGTCCAGTTTACGTTGCTGTATTGAGACCAGTTCCTGGAATTCTGACAATAAAATGAGTCTAATGAAATTCAATGACACATAGAAACTTACTCTGTTCTTCTGATCTATGAACCAACACCAGGAGTAAACATAAACGAACCAGTTCCCTCATTATTCCTTTTTTTCTCTACCTGAAAACATAACAGAAAAAAAACAATACATAAATCACAATAGAATTAATAACTAGAAATGCAGTGTACGTAACTTCGATAAGACATTCACAACATGTTTCCATGATAACGGCGATAAGTGACATTTTTATTAAAGACTAAATCATATTGATAATCCCATAAGATAACTTGCGATAAATTTAACTTCGATAACCAAGACTAGCTTTGCGATCGAAATAACACCCATCCATTGCACGGTCAGATATAATCAGTTCTGATGCCCTAAAACCTTAAAGCCGTCGATCAGCATTTGAAGCACTTGTAATCCATTGAAAACCACAATCTTGTGAAAGTTGAATCGCCGCTATTATATGGATATCAGTTTGAATAGTTAAATTTCGTTCAGTGTTTACAAAGATATGTTGAATTTGTTAACCCCCCCCCCCCAACAAAAATAAAAGAAAAAACAAACCCCAAAACAAGTCTCTAAACAAAAAAGAACAACAACAATGCTCTACATGACATGCTTTTAATTTTAAACATCGGTACCACGAACAACATCCATGTCGTTTTCGTCCATTGTTCGACACGACAATACCCTGGTGTGTGTGTAGACAAAACAGGTGCTGATAATAAGATAAATACTGTAAGATAATCAATATGTGTACTTGATTTCACCTTAACATACTGTAAATAAATAATAAGACTGGGTGACAGCTAAGATCACCTCTTACAATTTGTGTAATTAAACATAATTTTATCTAGACAATCTCGCGAGGTACATTAGGATTGTGGATTTAAAGGTACTGCAGTCTCTTCAAAAGTTAAACGGGAAGGCCCGGGAGGATCCCCAGCCTCCCAAATAATTTGTGTCGAGTGGACGTTAAACTCCATATGTCTAAAAGACGATCCCATCCAAATAAATCAAACACAACTATTTTTTTTTCTACATGATCTCGAGATGCCACAAAATAATCTTTTTTTCTTGGTTTTTTGTTTGCGTTGTTGATCATGTACCTTTAACGTGAAATTTCAATAAGGTTGTTCTCAGATAATATTGTCCAGTCGACCTTTTTATTCACATAATCTTGAAGTATTTAAAAACAAGTCCCACCTTTATCTTTGATCTGAAGCATTAAGCAGTTGTCGTTTATATTTGATTAATTTACTGCTAATCGTAAAATTAGCCTATTTTTAGGAGGTTTGATTGTGGATTCAGTTTTTATCAAAGTAGTTATAACAGTCTCCTCTCGTGTGTTATCAGACAAATAATATTAAACATCTGCCTTCTTTCGACACTTAAGGTCTATTTTCACCAAGGAACCTCCATTTTGAAACAATGAGTGATGTCCGACGTCATCAACGTTGTTTTTGTTTTACTTCATACTCCATACAAATCTACATGTCCAACAAATGTATAATGATGATGTTTTGTACAAAATATAATTATATTTTGAACATATATGTACGATGATGTGTTGGACAAATGTATGATCGCCTGGACATGGCTTTAGAACTCTCTTCGTGTAATGTACATTAAAATAACTAGAAAACCATTAATAAAGCATAGGTTTCTGTTTGTACTTTCCCTTTAAGCTTTTAATAATTCATTTAAAAATATTCTTATCGTATAATCTTAATGACGTGGCCTACTTGATTCACATAAGGAAAAAAAAAGACAAGTTTCTATACAAATTCTATACAAGTAGCAATTATACTATAGTTCAGTTCATTAGTACAAATGCCTTGTTTACATAGCAACGGAAAATGTTGCACATTGTGTAAAAGATAAAACGATGTTTTATAAGAAACCTGGTCTTATTAAATTTTCATTCTAAATTTCCTGCTCGATCGATAATAATAGGCTTGTTGGAGTAATCCACTGTCGTGTCTTATTTCAGGTGTAATTCGAATGCCGGTTTAAATGAATGTTGTCATGCAGTTTAATTATTAAAATGCACATTTAATTGTGTAGCTACACACGCACGTTTAAAATGAGCAGATACTTTGATTTGAGTAAAAATAATAATAGCATAGATATTATGAAATGAGATACTTGTCTGAATCAATCTGAATAATGAGACGGGTCAATTTAATCAACGTTCATGTGCTGAATTGCATTAACAAGTGGGAAAACAGTTCACATTTGAATTCTTCGAGTGATAAAGATTGATAATAACCGCTGGCTGTTTAAATTGAAATCGAAACTTTAGTGAACAAACTGACTTCCGTTTAATATTTGGTTACGAAAAGTTAATCATATCAAGTTTACCTAATCACTAATCGAAATAACAATCAGAAAACTCAAGTCGACATGACACTAGTCGACTTATTTAGACATTTTATTTTGATCTAAACCAGTGAGGTACCGCTGAAAGTTTCCCAGAGGGTGGCGTTATCGTTTCTTGTCAGCCAAACCAAAATGTTTATAGATCTTCATTTCATTATTCTTACTTCACCAGCTCAAAAGTTTGCACTCTGTATAAACTCAATAAAATAACATGTACAATGAACATACAATTAAAAAAATTTAATTCAAACAATGCCGAGAACAGTTCTAAGAACTTCAAACAATGACGCTGGCTGAGTGGATAGGACGCTGGCTCGCTAGCCTGGAGTTCCGGTGTTCGATCCCTGCATTGGCCGAGAAAGTCCATCGAGATTTTCCGACTTCGTTTCCCCTTGTCAGTGATGCAGGAAGGAGGGTCTGACAAGGGCAGCTGTCTAGTTGTTCGGATGGGACGAAAACCGAGGTCTCGTGTATACATTGACATGCACGTAAACGATCCCTTGGTAATTGGAATTCGATATAAGAGTAGGCCATAGTGCCGCTGTCCGGGCAAAATTTCCCCCACAGCACACTCTATGACGTATGCCCGTCTTCATTAGCTCAGTTCGGAGCAGAACAGTAGGACGGTAAACCCCATTTCATTTCATTACAAACAGTGAACCGCACTATGTAATATGCTAACGGATGTGATTTGAATTATTGTGCAGCAAGATGCCCATAGAAGTAACACAAACATTCGAACGAAGCATTGCTGTCGTTTGAACCCCACTCTCCTCTAAATGAGCATAAATATGGTCTGAGAGCTTCGATTTTAACAATAGGCGTTGTCTCAAACCTGGACCCCGCCCCCACACCCGTTGTGTTCAAATTCCCGAACACACCAATGGATGTGTAACTGGACGTCTCAGTTATTGGGTGTATATTAATGGGTTTTGAACTTTCGTGGAGAAACAACATTGGGAAATCTAATCTTCCCTCTTTTTATTATTATTGTTAAATGTCATGCAATATTATCAATCAATGTAACAAATGTAGAAAATTCACTCTGGTTTAATTAACATTTGCAATAGGGTATCTCATAAATCAGGAAGGATGGCAACAACGTCTCAACATTTTATTAACATTTTGAGACTTAAATCTTTTAAATGTATTTCGTAGCGTAAAAATAAAACAGGGTTTAGCATCTTATTTTTCTTATTTTTAGCCCTAACAACGACCCACCCTTACGTCGATTTCTAACTGCTAGAGGATAGTTAAAGATGGATTATGTAAGCTTTAGATAAACTATAAGAGTTTCAAAATAGATAATTCAAAATAAATTATAATGAAAATTCCGTTTAAATTACCTTATTCTGAGCGAAGTTATCACTGTTTGACGTTTTGACAAGATGTGGCATACATTGTTTATTATCGTAACAACGTTAATTGTTAATCGTGACACCACCCCATGCTCTAGAGAGTTGATTACAGGCTTGCCATGTGAATAAATGTCTAAATAATAATTTATATAACATTTGAAGCCAGACAAAAAGACCTGCAATAGGCAGAATTAAAGCCTTTTTAATTTGCTGACAATAGTACGTCGGTGTTAGTGCCCAAGCTGAACGACCAGGGCTTGTCCTGGTTAGGCCTACATCCACGTACCGATAACAAATTATAAACAAGACTAAAAAACCCAAGGAACTCACTCGGCAAACACACGGAACATATCCGGGCCTTCCTGGTTAATGGGCTAGGTGCCATACTCACCGAACAACCGTGGCCATTTGTAGCTAGGGGCATATTAATAACACCACTCCTCTTCGTTTTGTTTCAGGGTTGGGTTGGGGCTTATATTTTTTAAATGTATCTGAATCACACAATGCAGACCCTGTAGTGTAGAGTGACATGGACGCCACCGGAATTCAAAATTTAGACAATCAATCCTCTAAATATCTCTCTCTGGATGCGGGTCAAGTAATAATATATGAGATACCGCTACCAAATAAGTATATATCATATTATGACAGTTACATCAGTCATATCAAAGCTGTTTTGGTTTTATGTGTGTAATTTAATCTATACAGCATTGATATTAAATCCAAAAATAACAATAATATGTCCATGTATAATGCGCCAACTTCCTTTCTGTCTAATAATATAATACTAACAGATAAGTGTTCAAGTCAGATTTGAATTGATTGACCGTGGACTTCAGTGGATGTTTGACTTAATATGACAAAACAAAGCTGTTATGATTTTATGTATTAATCCATAGTACATTGATTAATGATTGGTTAAAATACAAAAACTAAAATGATATTTATCATCGGACATTTAGAAAGATAAGTAAATATTGTATAATATGGAGGTTATTGCTATTAATTGATTACTTGTACGGAAAGCAAACAGTGTTTAATCATATTTCCGATCCGGTGTGTTTACCATCCGCTTTGTGATATATTAATCATACTTATATTATATTACATACTTCCTTCTTCTGAATGGAGGTGCTTAAAATATAATAGCGTAAATAAAATACTGATTATCAAACGAATAACACCCCAAACCCCAAATAAGATTAGTCTTAAAGGAGCCAAGTCTTTAACTCAATATCATCCACAGTCTTCGACATTGCAAACCCGACTTAATTGATCTAAACATGTGTCGATTGGAATAGACTGGAATTACACGACTCCAAAGACTGTCTTTCATTTCAGACTCTTCGCGTATTTTGCTGAACATAACTGAT